GANTTTGTTGCGGACTAATCGACTCTATATGGTCGTATGGTCAAAACCCTTTCATGAAATTCACCCTCCCTTGCCCCTTCTTTTACCTTTTGGTGGCGGCGCTGGATGGAACACTCGCGCTCTCCTAGATGGATGCAGCCGCCCTCGCCATCACCAAAAATTTGGACCTCGACGTGATGCGCCTTTTCGATGTACTTCTCCACAAACACCTGATCGTCGAAAAGAAACAGGAAATAAACGAAATGCAAAAACAAAAGGTGAAAACAAGTTGTATTAGCTATTTGCCCCGAGCATAAATGAGCTTTTCCAGCTATCCATGTCGCGCTGCGACAAGGGGAAGGAAAAGGCCCGTCTTTGCAGCTTTAAAAACCCATAAACCTAAAATGTTGTATTTCACAATAACGCTACACCGTCATACAAAACATCTTATATTCACTGGTCACAAAAACAGAAGCAGCTAACTCACCCCGGCGTTGCCAAAAAAGGCTTGTCCCTGGTGCCTGCTCATCTCGAACTGCCGAGCCACATCCGCGTCGTTGCGGCACAAGAAGATTCCCATGCCGCCACCACCTCCCGTGGCCTTCAGGAGTACCGGATAGCCAACCTGACGAAGGGGACGGGAGAACACAGCTGACACAGCACATCGGCATCGAACGGCAAAAAGCTCGAATCGGATCGTCCGACCCAAGACCTCCCCTCCCACAAGCATCCATATTACCCTTCACCCACCCGCCCCTCCAAAGCCTCACAAGCCGGGCCTCTCTTCCGTCCGCTTTAAAAATCAATTCTGTCTACAACATGTCGTACCTTTTGAGCTTCATGTACGGCATCCTTAGCCTCCGTGACCAGCCCGCTGCCTTCCAGGATGGGAACCTGGGACGGCAGACGTAAAGAGGTAATGGGGTGAGGTTTGAAAGGAAAACGCAAATAGCATCAGCTGTACGACAACTGTACGACATGGCATGTAGGGGAGATGGCGGAGGAGTCCAGGGCCGGAAGACGCGGCCGGAGTGGAAACAACAACAACCGGCAATATGAAGAGGATGAGACAGAACAAGAGGTGATTTCGGAAAGAGGTCTGGAACCGGAACTGGATACCTATGACAATCCCGCAGAGCCGCTGCTACTGCTACAGCTGCTAATACTGCTACTGCTGTATAATACGCTCACAACACTCACCCCCGCGTTCTTGGCAATCTCACGAGCTACGTGCTTAAGAGAGAAATCGTGCATTGTTTTCGCTGTGGGGCCCAGCCATGTAACGCCCGCCTCGGTGATGGCGGTCATGAAAGCCTCATTCTCCGACAGAAAGCCGTACCCGGGATGTACGGCAGTACAGCCATTCTCCACGGCAATCTGGCGGTTCAGGGAGGGTTCGGGGAAGGACCGGGTATTTTCATCCCAGGGTTAGAATTACGACGCAGTATAGATGGAGCTGGGAAGGTCGGAGGAGGCGCAGGTGTCTAGGTGCGTCAGATTGGAAATGGAAGCTGATCAAGGTGGGGAGGGGAAGGGGCTGTGGGGATGACCGGAAGGAGGAGAAATGTTGTGAACACTGTTAACATGTGCGTCGGAAGAGCTGTGTCGTATGAGTTTAGCGGTGGGGGAGTGAGTGCAGACGCGGATAGGGCAGGTGCAGGGCGAAAAGGGCTGGTCGCAGCCACCCGTGAGCAACAATTTGCTGCGACATTCGATACAACAGGTCACAGATGTATTTCAGGCAGGGAGATGTTTGTAGTAGAGGTCATACCTGAACCAGCCGAGCGGCATTAGTATACTCGCGAGGGTTGTCGCCAAGGGGGATGGCGACGGTTGCTTCACGCACATGGGGTGCTAGCGCGTCGACAGTCGTATATATGGAAACTGTTTCAATACCAAGCGCTTTGCAGGTGCGTATTATGCGGCGAGCGATCTCGCCACGGTTCGCGATGAGGACCCGATGTTGCTTGGCCTCGCCTGCATTGAGAAATTCTCCGTAGGTTTGAGACATCGGTAATTGAGATAAATTTTGAAAGGCTACTACATGAGAAAACATACCGGCCATTTGTGATCCAACAGCCAAAATCCGTTCGTAGGGCCACGTGCTTAACTCTTCGTTTAGGTTCAACGAACTCCTAAAGGAATTACAACTTCTCGGCTGTAATAAGATACTCAATAATACGTTGCACGGAAGGGAGTACTACTCAGGTACTCAAGTTAGGACCGTTTGCAGGGCCGCTGGGACCGGATCAGCGGTTAGCAGGGAAAGGTCCCTTTACACCAGCACGCCGAACGACCCAAGAAAAAACATATTCCATAAATATAATGACTTGTTTCGGTAATTTCTGCAGAGGCTCAACGCTAACGCATTGGCGCCCGTCCTGACTGTCCTTCAGTCTTGCCGTAATCGCGAACAGCTCTCAGGGGCTCGCAGGGCCTTTGCAACCGCAGGGCTCTCCAGCGTTTTAGGCAATACAACTGCAGCGAAACTTAGATGAAAACTGAACTGCAGCTTGAATTGGTCGCCCTCTTTGTCGCTGGGCTTCTGTTGACAAATAACTACCTTCCGCGCTGACATCCATAAGCCCTTCGGACGTGATGTTGCCTGAAACATTTGATCTCCAAACTCTTCGCGCAGCGTACGCGGGTGGCAAATGTACACCGACGGCGCTCATCACAGCCCTCTACCCACGGCTCGTTGCGGCTGGTGACATATTTCTGTATTTACCGCCGCTTGATGAGCTTCTCAAGCGGTGCTCCGAGCTGGAATCCCAGCCAGAGGCTGAGCGTGGTAGCTTGTGGGGAGTACCATTCGGCATCAAGGACAATGTCGACATTGTTGGCATGCCCACAACCGCAGCTTGCCCAGCTTTCAGCTACATGCCCGAGAAAAACGGCCCGGCGATAGCGGCTCTCCTCGAGTCAGGTGCGTTGTGTGCGAGTGTATCTGAACGTATATTTATCGATCTCCCCCTTCTGCGCATTTACACGACACAGTTTTCCAACTCCTACCGGGCCATTTGTGATCCCCCTCCTCCCATCCGCACTCGCACTCGCACTCGCGCCTGTTCGACATTAGTAGTAGTAAACAATTCATCAATACCAATCTCGACCTCATCCTCAAACACCCGGCCTCGGTACCCAACATCACAACATCACAAATGTCCCCCATGCCTTCAAACCCGGCTCCACTGCTCCTAGGTGCCATTGGTGTGGGCAAAACCAACATGGACCAGTTCGCAGCCGGGCTCGTGGGCACCCGCACTCCCTCCGCCACCTGCCCCCGCAGCCCCTTCGATAGCCGCTTCATCAGCGGGGGCTCCAGCAGCGGCAGCGCAGCGGCGGTGGGCAGCGGACTGCTCACCTTTGCACTGGGAACCGATACCGCCGGATCGGGCCGTGTGCCTGCGGGGCTGTGCGGCTGCGTGGGGGTAAAACCCACAGTGGGTAGCGTGTCGACAGTCGGTGGGTGGCGCGACGGGTTAGATTATGGTGGTTGGGTCAGCGGTTACTCAGTTGGCAAGTGGGCCGATTCACGGTTAGGGTATCTGTATGCATGTATGTTAACTCTATATCCACTAGAGGTCGGGATGCCCTGCTTCGCGGCCGTACGACAATTCGTGTTTGCGCTAAACTTGGACGCGGCGCGGCGTGGTCTCCTAACCCCTCTCAACCCCCCTGGAGCCTTCACCTGGAAGCCGCTAACAGTCTCTGGAAACTGCTAAAACCTCCGTATTTCCCCCCTAAAGCCGCCATTCGCCCCTTTCTTCCCCCTCCCGCCCTTTCCCCCTCGCGTTTTCACTTGCGTGCAGGTGTGGTTCCCGCATGCGCCTCCCTGGACTGCCTGACTGTGTTCACATGCAATGTGGCGGATGGGGTGGAGGTGATGAGGGTGATGAAGTCGGGATGTGCGGGACCAGGGGACGTGTGGAGACGGCCTCCACCATCATCGCACACACCGTCACCAATCACAGCACCAGCAGCAGCAGTAGGGGCAGAGGAGCCGGAGGGTTTCCGATTTGGGGTCCCCTCCCCGGAGCAGCTGGACTGGTCGGGGCCAGGTACGCCTGCGTGTACCTGATGGATGTAATCCGGTGTACGGCAGTGGGTTCAGGACGGTGTACGACAGTGTACGAATGGGCCTGCGGGACTGTAAGGAAGGTTCAGTGGCTGGGCAATGGCATGTTCTATGGCTGGACACGCACAACGCAACCGTGTCATTGCCGTACATGCCACACGTGCTGCCGTGCATTTTCAGGTGGCGCAGCGCTGGCTGCCGCCTGTGCCGCCCAGTTCGAAGCCGCCATCGCTCGACTAGAAGCCGCCGGCGGGCGTCGAGTGGAGGTGGATTTTGCACCGCTGATGGCTGTAGCGGCTATGCTGTACGGCACTTCCTTTGTGGCGGAGCGCTACAGTGGCATCCGTGCTTTCCTGGAGAAGGGCCAGCCCTTTGTGGCGGCAACGGCGGCTGAGAAGACTCCAGGGGAGCGCCAGGCCGCGGTGGCTTCAGACGAGCGGCTGTTGCCCGTTACGCGCCACATCATCGCTGGGTCCGGTGCGTTGACTTTGACTGCAGCCCCATCCCGGTTTATTGGGTGCGGAATAGGTTCTGGCCTGGGCGGCAATTCGGCTGCCCTCGGAACTGCGCGCCCGTAGCATTATTTATCACGCTGGCGGTTGTGACATGGGATTTGACAGGTTCCGCTTTGGGTAGGGAAGGGTAGGGTCGGTTCCCAGGGAATTGGGTTAATAATAAGACTTGGGTAAGGATGGCGGGACTTCTTAGGAGGCATTGGATGCCACTGCTTCATGCCACGTCCCACCTCATCCCTCCTCACCCTAACCACCTCACCTCCCCCGCACATCCAGGAAAGTTCACCGCTGCGGATGTGTACGACCACCTAGCGCAAATGGCCGTGCTCCGCGCGCGTGCCTTGGACGAGCTGTCTCGCGTTGACGTACTGCTCGTTCCAACGGCCCTAACGCATTGGACTGTTGCGGAGGTCGTGGAGGAGGAGTGTGCTGAACCCCCCACTTGGAGCCGTAACGCCAAGCTGGGTCGCTTCACCAATTTCGTCAACCTATTGGACATGTGCGGAATGTCCGTACCGTCTGGGCTTGTGTCGTACGACGCGGCGGTGCTCTCGGAGGTACGGCGGGTGCGGCTTAGGGTGCTTGTGGTGCTGTAGTTAGTTAAGGGTTGGGGTGTGCACTACAAGATGGCATCTCCCCCGTCAACCCCCTAACCTCCCCCATTACTGGGCCTCTTTCGCCTCCAGGACGCCTCCGAAGCCGAGCGGAGCCGAGCGGCTCACCTCGCAGCCACCGGCCCGACCTCCGTCACTTTGCCTTTCGGCGTTACCCTGCTTACACGCGCCTGGCGGGACGAATGGTTGTGGAGTTTGGCGGCAAAGATGGAGGCGCTGGCTGGACTCAAGTGCGGACCCGCGGGTCACGGAGTCACGCCGCCGGAGGTGGAAGTAGTCATTCAATAAGGCGCCGGAGTTGGGAGAGAAGCGGGGAGCGCGGCTGGCAAGCGCCGCCATGAAGTGACCTGCTGGTGTCAGGATGGTTAGTGGTGGTGGGCGTTAGGTGTGATTTGGGGGGATTGGGGGGCCTCTTACGGGAGGTCTGATGCTGCGTGTCCCGTGACTCCCGTGTCATACAAATGCGTGTATGTATGTAGGTCGGTATGTTCGTCGGTACGACTCGCTGATGACACCTAACGCGCAGTGAAGAGTTTGTGTGTGTGTGTGTGTGTTTCCTGCGACAGTCACGGGGTGAGGAGTGTGCGGACGATGTGTATGCCTGTATGTATATCTGTAGGGAGATTCCAATCGACTCAGACTTTGAGTTGATGTATAATTGAGGGAGGGAGGGAAACGGAGCAGAGAGAGAGAGAGGGAGATAGAGAGAACGTCTGTGTATGCGGCCAGTGGCATGAAGCTGGCCCTTCGCGGGAAGACTTATGCGTATGCAGAGTGTGCGGGCGTGAGCTCAAGAGGAGAACGAGGATGACGACGACCGGACGTGTGAGGGCAGCACAGGACAGTCCAGAGGGCCATCTACCATCTGACCGGTGACCGAATTCGATGTTGGAAAAGCGGAAGAAAAGGAGCAACATACAGATGCTAATATTACTAAGGAGCCGCGACAAGACCTTTGGCAAAAACCTCTCCTAGCTTTTGAATTCGGATCCTAATCTGTGGAAATTAGTGCCTCGCGCCTTTCTGACGTCATTAAAAGCACACGCATCGGATGGTGTTGGGTTTCGGTCGGGGATGTCTTCAGTGCCGTACATGTGCTGTGGGATTTGGAGGAAAGCTGCTAGCTAAAGTTCTGAGGGTGATATGGTGTCCTGGGATGAGCTTGTATTGCAGGTCATCATATACGGCGTCGGTTGGCTTTGGGCATTCAGGTTTATTTTTGGTGAAAAACTGAAGCTTTATAAAAAAAGGCCTTGTGTAAGATGCAATGTACCGATCAAGTTAATCCCTACTTCGCTCGTTCGTTCGCTTCTTCGGTCTATCGTTCGGTCGTTCGCTCGCCATGAGAATGGAGGGAGCCCCCCCCGTCGATATAGCCCCCCTGATACCATGGGGCCCTGCTTTACCCCTAAAAGCCGACACCTGAAAAGCGAGTTTGAGCACAGCATTTTATGTTTCGGAGATCATGTTTCAGAGGGAAATTATGTCATATATCGTGTATGAGTGTTATTTCCTGTTAAGAGTTCCTAGATCCGGACTGAAGGGCGTATCCCTGAATCCCTAGATTACGACTTTGAACTTCGGTCGGAACTGCGGCAACTTCTGTGGGAACTGTGACGAGGAAGTGGGATTCTGGGCAGCTGGACCGCCCCGCTAACACTTTGACACTTCGGGCCCGAAGCCGATATTTGGTCGCCAGTAAATCCCAGCTAATGCCACTTGTTCCGTTGTTGAATGATTTCTATTCATATGTCCTGGAGTGTAAGAGTTTATAACAATAACATTTATACACGTGCCAAAGGAATATCACAGTGTCAGTTGGCCGCATGAGGTCATGTGCTAGCAGTGGTCGCTGTCCCCGTGGGCCTGGCGCCAGTCCGCTAGCTACTATAGGTCCGCTTGAGGTCCGCTGTTTCAATTCCCGATCAGCAACGATACCGCGTTCTTTTCTCTGTGCTTGCTGAAGCTTGGCCGAAGACACCGTTAAACTTTACGACGGAATACTTAGTAATGCTTATTAGGCGAAGCGACTCGTCCAAAGGCGAGAGGGGCTTTCACAGCCCAGCCTTTATGAATATTATGTCGTGAAACATGTTTGGGTTGGGCTGTGAAGGTTACAATAGGCAGTGTGACCCTGCCCTGCAAGTTAGGTAAGGCATGCGAGCGTCTAGCAGAGCATGTTGATAAGGCCAGCACGAGGGCGCTTCTACGATCTACAGGGATGCTGTCGCAGAGAGAAAGTTAGGAAAGTATTGCGTCGACCTCGTTTGGGGCTTCTGCGTCGGGGACAGTTACTTCCCAGCACCGCGATTATCAATGTTCCAGGCTTTGGGACTGATGAAAATACGCAGATGATCTATGTCATCGCATTGCGCTGTTAACGACATGTACAGAAGTGGCTTAATGCAGTCGGACCCGGGACATTTATATTTCTTGCTGCTTTATTTCCAATAAAAGCTGTTAAAAATCATCCAAATAGACATGGTAATGCAGCCGAGATCATGTTTTAACTGTACGGGGGAAACTGGCAATGGCGCGCCTCGACGGTCCGAGGTGACTTGCGGAAGTGCACGCACGGAACGAAAATGTAAAGTAGAACTACTTTATCATGGGAATGGGTCCATAAATGATTACAGTCATGTCCAGAGCCCATGTTTGACGTTGCAGCGAAGCTTACTTTTTAGGTAATGCCCGATTGTAATCGGGCACACAAATTAGAATTGCTATAAGTACATTTATATGTTGTATGCTGAAATAGAACCTTTGGATAAGGTGCCCTTCCGCTACCTGTCGCACTTGGTCCTGCAAAAGCAGTTTGCGTCCTGCGGATGCACCTGCACGTGTGGAATATAAAAGTCCATGCCGGTTACCACATGTTCATTCAGTTGGTGTCTTACATTTAGAGAGTGAGAAATTTTCAACATCTACTCTTCCCTTTTCCACTTAGGTATTCGTGTGCTGCACCTTTGGCAGCATTTCCGTTAATCAAGAATGTCAACGTGTGACGCTGCTTCATTTGCTTCAAACATATTCAATTTCCCTCAGTACGCCAAGAAATGCTCATTCTTTGAGAAGGGCGGTAAGTTCGTGAACTAGGGCTCTGAGTGTATTTCAGGTTATGTATCCTCTCGCTGTATTCATTTTCAAGCTGTAGCTTCAGTTCGCGGGTGTTAGCTTCACAATCACCTTTCATGGCGCTCGACCCGGTGCAGGTGACACCGCCCTGCCGCAGGGCCTCGGATGGTTCATTCTCGTTGGCCTCGGCGCGCTCTTCGCGCTGATCCCAACATTCCTAATCTGGTTTGACAGGTAAACGTCGAGTAGATCGCACACTGAGTGGGAAAGATCTGTCATGTGATACGTTTTCAACGACTAGATGAGTAACTCTCTTTCCGCCAAGGATTCCTTGGCTACAATACCTTTACCGATCATATTGTCCTAATCTTTACAGGAAGTTTGGCGGCACTGGAAAGGATTCGGAGAATTTCTCTACTGCTGGTCGCAGCATTAAAGCGGGCCTGACTGCTTGCGATATCGTTGCCAAATGGACATGGGCCGCCACGTTGCTTCAATCATCAAATGTGGCGTTCTCGTTCGGTATCTCAGGGCCGTTCTGGTATGCCGCAGGTGAGCGGTGGCTATTTTTGCTCACGATCACGTATTTTTGCTCACTGCGCTTGGCTAGCGACCACTCTTTGCAAGTGAACGCGTCTTCATTTTGAGCCATTTGGCATGCTATATGTTACACTTTTTTGCACTTTGCTGGTCTTAACACTCATACGGTCTTGTTGGGTTTCTGCATTTTCAGCATCTGATCCCTCCTACGGCTCCGCCTCTTTGATGTCTCCAAACTTCGACCTGGCATCCCTAATCTTGGTACCCTCAGGTGCCACCGTGCAAGTTCTGCTGTTCGCCATCCTGGCTGTGGAGATCAAGCGCAAGGCGCCCACCATCCACACCTTTTTGGAGGTCATTCGCTGCCGCTGGGGCACCACCGCTCACGTCATCTTCACCGTGTACGGCTTCCTGACCAACATCATCGTCACGGCCATGCTTATCCTTGGTGGCGCAGCCGTGATGGAGGCGCTGTCCGGCGTGTCCGTGTATGCCGCGTCCTTCCTCATCCCTGCCGGTGTGGTCGTCTACACTGCGGTCGGAGGGCTCAAGGGCACGGTCGTGGCTGAGTGGCTCAACGTCTGCATCATTTACCTCGCTCTTCTTATCTTCATGTTCCAGGTGTGTTGTTAAGGAAACTTAGTTATGCATCTTAGACTGCGAGCTTTTGCGGCGATTACATGGTTGCATGTGTCTCAGTCGACCTCAGTCTATAGGTTATCTGTACATGCACCGTGTATGCATGCAATCTGACAAGGACGTCCTCATGGAATGACTCCGTTCATCTACCCGTTGATCCTGCTATCATTTACCCTTGCTTCCTCTCTTATTCTGCTGATGCTGCGATGCTGATGCTGCCAATGACAGGTGTACGCAACCCACGAGGACCTTGGCTCCATCGCCGCTGTGTACAAGATGTTGCGCAAGGTTGAGAAGGTCCACCCAGTAGCCGACAACATGGGCGGCTCGTACCTGACCATGTTTTCCAAGTCGGGCATTATCTTCGGCATCATCAACATCATTGGCAACTTCGGCACGGTGTTCGTAGATCAGTCGTACTGGCAGGGCGCCATCGCCGCCAAGCCCTCCGCTACCTACCGCGGCTACCTGCTGGGCGGCCTGTGCTGGTTCGCCATTCCCTTCACCTTCGCAACAACCATGGGACTGGGCGCGAGGGCGCTGGACCTGCCACTTACCAAGGCTGAGGCCAACCAGGGTTTGGTTCCAGCTGCCCTTGCGGTGCACCTCATGGGCAAGGGGGGGGCCTTCCTGATGACCTTCCAGCTCTTCATGGTGAGTCCAATTACAAAATGATGCTGTTAACGAAACCTGCATGTATTGATGAGGCAGACCAGGGAAGAGGTCTTCGCTTTTCTTAATTTTTTTTGTCTCTCTGCTCTCCTGCCTACAGGCCGTGACCGCCACCGCCTGCGCGGAGCAGATGGCCGTCGCCACCATCGTAGCGTACGATATTTACAAGCCGTACATCAACCCGAACGCGAGCGGACGCGCGATGATTAACCTTCAGCGGGTCATGGTACTCGTCTACGCCATCATCTCCGGTGTTGTGTCAGTCATCCTGCTTAAGCTCGAGGTTTCTCTTGGATGGGTGTATCTCTTCATGGGCATCGTGATTGGCTCGGCTGTGTTCCCCATCGCTGCCTCTCTCACCTGGGCCAAGTGCTCTGCCAAAGCTGCTTGCATCTCAGCCGTCGTCACCACCCCGCTCGCCATCATGACCTGGCTCATTACCGCGGCCAAGCTCAACGATGGCGTCATCAACCTGGACACCACGGGCCAGGACTACCCCATGCTCGCGGGCAATCTCGTGGCGCTCTTCTTCTCAATGATTCTTTGCATCATCCTGTCGTACATCTTCCCACAGGTGAGGAAGCTGTACGTCACCTTATGTACGTAAGATGTAACGTACATGCACAATTTTCCTGCGCCGTACTGTCCAACAAGTAATTGTGTGGGGGGGATAGCGGATACCGCCATTCCGTTGATCTCCCCGCAGCCTTTGAACCGCTTAGCTCCCTGTTTGATGTTCTCCTCACCACTCCGCACGAACCCCGCACCAGCCCTCATGCTCCCCGTCTTGACCTGTTTGGCTCAAATGTGTGAACGAACAGGACTTCGACTGGGCTGAGCTGCGCAACATCCCGGTCATCGAGTCCGACCCCAACTCCGACCCCAACAACTTCGAGGGAGAAGACTCCCCCGAGGCTCTCAATTACGTGATCAAGTTCACCTGGGCCACCGGTGGTACTCTCACTTTGGTCCTGCTCATCTTGTGGCCCATCCTGACGCTGCCGGCTAAGGTCTTCAACCAGGGCTACTTCACGTAAGTCTGATAGCCCTAGGGTGGTTGTGGATTTGCAAAAATAACAAGTCGCATGATCAGGAAAAATAGTTCCTAGCCTACCCCAAAAGAAGTCTATCAGTCCATCCGAAAAAAACGGTCGGTTACTGAACCCTGCCGCCTCCTGGCCCGGTTGCTTCCACAGGTTTTGGGTGATCGTAGCCATGGTTTGGGGCATCGTGGCCTCCGTCATCTGCATTGTGCTTCCCATCTTCGAGGCCAGCGACGTCATCTTCGCCGCCTGCATCGGCAAGAAGCCGTCAAAGACTGCAGCAAGCGCAGAGGAAAGTGTGCAGGCTGGCAAGGAGTCGCACCTCGAGCTCCCACCCGCACCTGTCCAAGCAAGCAAGGTCTAAAGCAAACACCATCTGGCCTGCCTGCCGGCCAAAACATCTCTGTACGTATGTATGTATTGACGTCTTGTACGCACGTCGTGGCACACAACGGGGCTCCTGTGGCGTGCAGCAGGGCACTGGAGTGGTGGAGGCGGCTTTGCATGCCACGTTGCGGGCATGGGTTGGCAGGGATTTCGTTCACTCAGAACTGCGCTCCTACGCGATCACTCTGGTTGCGTCCTCTGCTGGGGAAGTTCTCGTTATTGTGTGCCCTCCCTCTTGTCTTTGGATGGGTACTCGTTGGGTCTGGTTTTTTGGGGTCCCTGCTCTGCACAGTTCTGACTGCTTTGTGGTTGGTATGAACATTTCCGTGAAGATGGGCGTGCGGGTCGGCGTCAGGACAGCGCAGGTAAGCATGCGTGATCCGTGTTACTTGGGTGATAGGGTGAAGCCGCCCCGCGTGGTCTGTCGAGCCATGTCATGCTTTTGGGGAGGGGGGAACATTGTCGCTCGCATGTGCGTGATTACCAGTCACGCTTACTGTGTCGCATGGTGTATGCTAGCGTGACCTGGTAAAGGATGGAGGGGATCGCCTTTCTGTCTTGGAAGAAGGCGTGGCCAAATGAAGGGATCGCTAACGTGACTTGACTGACCTATCTTGCGCTCTTGTAGAAGGTCTTAGGCGGTTTGAAGGTAGATGCGTAAGTATGCACAGCGACAGCTTGACCTCGGGATTGCAAAGCATATGTGAATGATGCCTTTGCTTGTCTGTGCAGTGTTGTTGCGTATGTCGTATTGTACGACGTGGAGCGGTTGGGGCGCTATCTGCGGTTGTCCGAGGTTGAACCCTGTTGTTTTGTACTGTGTATGTGCAGCTGCATGAATGGATTTGGTATATGACATTTGGGGGCTCGCAGGAGCGGCGCCCCGTGTACTAATCTCGAATGACCATTCCCTGTACTCTTAAGACAAATATCTTCAATCTCAGCCATTATCTCCAGACGCCGTTTTGATGCGTGATACATTCTCATGTGATACGATCCTGCAAAGGTAGTATTGCGACCGATGACGTGTCCTTGCTCGTACCTCCCAGCAGCATATGCAGTACCTGCTTGGCGTGTGCAGCGTCTGTACATGTGCGCTGTGGATGTCATTCCTTGCGGTCGGGCAGGTCCTCGGGCGTCGGGCATGCACCTGGTCATCGCTTTGGACTTGTTGGTGTTTGTGGTGGAGGTGGCGGTTGTGATAATTGGCAATTCACGCACGAAAAGGAATCGCGTTTGAGATGCATCTTGCGGAGGGAGGAGCAATAGAAGTAGCATCAGTGTCAGCTCTGTGCTTGATTGTCATGTAGGTCAGCTCATCAGGTAGACAGCGATGACTCGGGGTGTGGGCGGCGTCTTGCGTGGTGTTGGCGTCTGGAGTCTGCAGGGCCCCTAAATGCGATTTTAGATAAATGAAATGATGTCCTTGTTACTTCCTTAATTCTCCATATTACATACGTTGCCACGTTTGCAAGGAGTGAAAATGCTTGCACCCTAATAACAGGTGGTCATCCGGAAGCAGAGGGAAAGGAGGGAAGGAGGGTGTTGGATATGGTGGTGGTGCGTGCGGAAGCGGAGGCAAGACGGGCACTGTAATGCCCAGGAATCCCAATCGTCGCCAACCCTTCATGGAGTGTAACATATAAAGGCGAAGCTCTTGGGACGATGTGCACTGTGGGATTGCGACGTTGGCTTGCTCTATCTTCGTACCTAGGGAGAATTCTTCCACGCCCTAGGCAATAAATCCCTCGCACCCGACACCCCCTCGGTAACTAGGATACAAAAGGGCAATAGTCGCTGTACGTACCGCCGAACAAAGCAATGTGAAGACCGCTGAAGACCAATGGCCCTAGTGGGGAGGAACCTAGGCTCAAATTACAAGCTGGTACTTCAACCTGGAAACCCAAATCTTGGTCTTGCCGTTGCCAGACCAGTTTATCAATGGTTGTTACGTCGAGTACGGCAGCGCAGGTCCCCCGTCTGCAATGGTCCCAAGACCGCGGGCATTTCCGCTCAACTATTCCACGAGGACACTCCAACCAGCGTCCAACACACGCAAGCGAGCAAATAAACTTGAGGAAAAAAGCGGGCATCAGGAGCTTTCGGCACGGACAAGACGCAGATCAAGTAAAGAAGAGGCTACCGCTAGTATGATTAAGCAAACAGGCCTGAAGCTGACTTTATACAACGAGAAACGAGCAAACAGAACAACGGCGTAAAAAACCCACCCGCTCTGACGCGTCACGGAACCTCACGTGGCGCTGATGCCCCTCTGAAGGAGTCTCTTAACGCGATGCCGACGCCTCTGCCACCCTGATAGCGGGGTAAAGAGGGCATTCAGCGAAGGTATAGGCAGGGGCTCTCGTTCAGAGGTCTGCAAATAAGGCGGGTACTGGGGGTACGTACCACAGTACCCGCAGGCGGAATTCGGCTTAAGGCCCCGGCTGCGAGTCCCTTGACCAAAATTTGCCCCAAAGACATGATTTGCAGCCTCTATTCCGGCCCGTAGGGCTGCGGGCTGGACGTGTAGCGCTTTAAAATGCTGCCCTTTCTTTGGCACCGGAATGCTTTTTTAAATGTTTTTTAGGTTTACTAATCGAAATTATGCCCCCCCCAGCCGTAGAAACCGATTTGCTGACCTCTGCACTCGTTACGGGCGGAGTTCTGTTACGGAAGGACGACACGCGGACGAGGCAATTCGCTACCCTTATGTTCAGTAACTAATTTGCATACAGTTTGTCGTTGAACGTGGAGACGATTGCTATTTGTATTCTCTGATGTAGCCAAGAGGTTTGCTTTTAGGCTCTGCTTAGGGAATGGAACCCTAAGCAAAGCTCGGTTTAACTTGCATAGTAGTGAGCAACATGTCCATATCAGCTGTGATAGTACAAGGACGATGTAAGCACACTGTTGGTATGTTGGCAGCAAACCATCATTATTGAAGTCGTTTTGTAAACTCCAGCATACAGTGATGTCGGCGATCTGTAAAAATATTTTCGGATTGCTAAAGTATCAAAACAAGTGCGAGTTCTTTGAAGATGGTGCGTTTGGGTGACTGTCAAATTTTGAAGGATACTGGACGGGTCCTTGTTCTCAGCCAGTAGGATGCAAACTTAACTGTATGGGCGGCACACCACGCCCATAGGACCAACTGTGTTGCCTGAGGAGCTCGGCTGGTTTATCCTGGCCGGTTTGGGTGCTGTCTTCGCCTTCATACCGACGTGCTTAATCTGGCTTGACAGGTAATGTTGCCCACCAAACGCATCCTCTGGCGTCTAGGTGCCCAGGTTTCTCCGTCTTCGTGTTCTGTGCCGTGCCATGAAGTGCCATGCTGCTCCCTTAAGTGCGCTGCTGTGCCTCCTATGATCCAATACTGTAGTTCCCTCATCGGCTTTGGAAGGCTAGGCTGGGCTCCGGGATGCAAGCCTCAGCTGTTGCTGCCCAACCTTCTCCCAATTCCCCCCTGGCTACTGCTCCTAGTTCCCGCTCTGATGCCTGCGCCTTACTCTTCCACCTGCTTCGCTCACCGCTCAAGGCGCTTCGGTGGCTTCGGTCGCGATTCGGAGAGCTTCTCTACAGCCGGTCGAAGCATTAAGGCCGGTTTAACTGCTTGCGACATCGTCGCCAAGTGGACATGGGCGGCGACGTTGCTCCAGTCCACAAACGTGGCTTACTCGTTCGGCGTGTCGGGTCCTTTCTGGTACGCGGCAGGTGAGTAGCGGAACGGAATGAAGTCGACCTCTGCCTCTGAGCACGGCAGGTCGGTCGGTCTTTCAAGTCTTCAGTCGTAACCAGGACACTGTTCCCCGGACGATACATGGATGTGGCTCAAACCTTAGGATTTTCGTGTATGGGGGCCTAAACGGACTAAATGACAGTGCGGGCGGTGCAGCTGGCTATGTTCCTTTGGGCGTTTGGCAGCAAAGCAGCAAAAATCCATTTGGGTCGACGGATATATATGTATATCTGGTAGACAGAATGGCAGGCAGGTGGGCGGCCTGCATGCTGCCGCCATCGGCGCCGTCCCTGTTTCGCCGCACCATCGTATGCTGCTGCTGAAAGCTTCGTGCAGCTGCTTTCAGCTTGTAAATGCTGCAGTGCACTACACTGTTCATCCTGCATGGCGTATCACGATGCCGGCTGGCGACCCTGCACGCTGGGTTCCCCTCTCCCAGCCCCTAGACCCCCTCACTAGGGAACACCTCGGAGCCCAGTGGCGTCACCTTAGCTGCTTCGTCTTTGGCATATCTGCAGTCAGGACTGCGGTCAGTACTGCAGCCAGCACTGCAGTCCTGTTACTTGATGTGTTTCCTCCCTTTCCCTGCTTCCCTCTCTTTAGGCGCCACCGTGCAAATCCTCCTTTTCGCCATCCTGGCTGTGGAAGTCAAGCGCAAGGCGCCCACCATCCACACCTTTTTGGAGATCATTCGCTGCCGCTGGGGCACCACCGCTCACGTCATCTTCACCGTATACGGCTTCCTGACCAACATCATCGTCACGGCCATGCTTATCCTTGGTGGCGCAGCCGTGATGGAGGCGCTGTCCGGCGTGTCGGTGTATGCCGCGTCCTTCCTCATCCCTGCCGGTGTGGTCATCTACACCGCGGCCGGCGGACTCAAGGGCACGGTCGTGGCTGAGTGGCTCAACGTCTGCGTCATTTACATAGCCATGTTGGTTTTCATGTTCCAGGTGCGTCGTTGTCCTCAGCGCAACATCAGGAGCTTATGGCCCTCTGCCTCTAGGGATAAGGTATGCTGGAATAGATGAGTCCGCAAGGAACTACTGTCTGTGTGAATCCCTCTGGGTAGATCCCTAAGGGCTGGCTGAGTGGCTGCCACCGATTTCCACCTCCGGCGGTTTCGTCCACTTCAGCTCCCTGTTGTCATCGCTTTCTGTCGATGTCCCATGATGCGTGGCGCGGGTGCTGCGGCACGGGTGATGACCTGCATCGCACGGAAAATTTTCCTGCCACCGCTCAGCATTTTTGGGTGGGGCCGTGCTGAAATAGAAATATGCGGGCAAGACTGCACTGAAACCCATAACATCCGTATGATGTGTTTCGTACATCGGTGCTATTGTATTAACGTTATGAAGCCGCTTATTGCAATAGTCTCCCTTTTTCTGTTTAAAAAAGACCAATTCAGTGTGTCATTGGTCTATTGCCTTGCGTCTAGTGTAGTGCCACTGGTTTGAGCTCTCTCCCTCGCCCCTTGTGTGTTTGCTACGTTTCCGTAGGGCCCTCATATAGCACGCATATAGGGACAGCTGTTAGACCCGGCTGTGTGGCCCCCTGGCAGCCACCCGGGTATTCCCCGGGTGGCGTCCAACCTTCCCTCGTTAAACCCTCCTCAACCTCTCCTGATCGGAATCCATTAATCCCGCCAGCCCTGACCTTGCCATAGACCCTTACACGCCGAAACTCCGAAATGCCCTATTGGCACAATATTGTCGCGTGGGTGCCCCTGCTCCTTTTATCTTCTGATGCTGCTGCTGCTGCTGCTGATGATGATGATGATGCCAATGACAGGTGTACGCAACACACGAGGACCTTGGCTCCATCGCCACCGTGTACATACGGCTGCGGATGGTGGAAATTAAGCACCCAGTAGCCGACAACATGGGCGGCTCGTACCTGACCATGTTCTCCAAGAAGGGCATTATCTTCGGCATCATCAACATCATTGGCAACTTCGGCACGGTGTTCGTAGATCAGTCGTACTGGCAGGGCGCCATCGCCGCCAAGCCCTCCGCTACCTACCGCGGCTACCTGCTGGGCGGCCTGTGCTGGTTCGCCATTCCCTTCACCTTCGCAACAACCATGGGACTGGGCGCGAGGGCACTGGACCTGCCCGTCAGTCGCACTGAGGCTGACCGGGGTTTGGTTCCTGCTGCCCTTGCGGTGCACCTCATGGGCAAGGGGGGAGCCTTCCTGATGACCCTGCAATTGTTCATGGTGGGTTGAGATGTGTGACGCATCAGGATGTGCGATACGGCGTGGCCGGGCAATGGAGGAGGGCCATGGGTGACTAACGGCAGCCCTGGTGATCCAGGGGCTACCGGGCTCCAGGGGCTGCCGGGCTCCAGGGGCTGCCGGGCTCCAGGGGCTGCCGGGCTCCAGGGGCTGCCGGGCTCCAGGGGCTACCGGGCTCCAGGGGCTACCGGGCTCCAGGGGCTACCGGGCTCCAGGGGCTACCGGGCTCCAGGGGCTACCAGGCTCCAGGACTATTTGGGGAACCGTACAATGGGTACAGCGCAACACCAACATACCAATCAACCTTTCTTGCGCCGCCTCAGTGCAAGCTGGCTAACCCAGTGGGCCTCCCCGTGCATTGCCGCTGTGGTGGCAGGTTAGTGCCTCACGCACATGTAGCCGCAGTTGCCTACCCACAAACGTTTACAGCGTTCCGTCCCTAGCTCTCCTGCCCGAGCTCTCTATCCCCTCGTCATTCACTTGAAGCACTAAACCACTTTGCTCACCTTGCGCCTGTCCTTTGCCTTCGCAAACCCAGGCCGTGACCGCCACCGCCTGCGCGGAGCAGATGGCCGTCGCCACCATTGTCGCGTACGATATTTACAAGCCGTACATCAACCGAAATGCTGATGGCCGAACTATGGTCATGCTACAGCGGGTCATGGTGGTGACCTATGCGGTCATCTCCGGTGTTGTGTCAGTCATCCTGCTTAAGCTCAACGTCTCTCTTAACTGGGTTTATCTCTTCATGGGCATCGTGATTGGCTCGGCCGTGTTCCCCATCGCTGCCTCTCTCACCTGGGCCAAGTGCTCTGCCAAAGCTGCTTGCATCTCAGCCATCGTCACCACCCCGCTCGCCATCATGACCTGGCTCATTACCGCGGCCAAGCTCAACGATGGCGTCATCAACCTGGACACCACGGGCCAGGACTACCCCATGCTCGCGGGCAATCTCGTGGCGCTCTTCTTCTCAATGATTCTTTGCATCATCCTGTCGTACATCTTCCCACAGGTGAGGAAGCTGTACGTCATCTTATGTACGTAAGATGTAACGTACATGCACAATTTTCCTGCGCCGTACTGTCCAACAAGTAATTGTGTGGGGGGGATAGCGGATACCGCCATTCCGTTGATCTCCCCGCAGCCTTTGAACCGCTTAGCTCCCTGTTTGATGTTCTCCTCACCACTCCGCACGAACCCCGCACCAGCCCTCATGCTCCCCGTCTTGACCTGTTTGGCTCAAATGTGTGAACGAACAGGACTTCGACTGGGCTGAGCTGCGCAACATCCCAGTCATCGAGTCCGACCCCAACTCCGACCCCAACAACTTCGAGGGGGAAGACTCCCCCGAGGCGCTGAATCGGGTGAGAAGCTCCTGTTATTTCCCTTCACGTTAGGTTAGCCCCTGTCATTTCCCCCCACGCCATCCGTTTTATTTCCCCCCATACCTTTGGCTGCCCCTTGTTGGGCACCCTCAGGGCTCCTATGGGCCCGTTACACCTTTGCGTTACTCTTATTTCAGTAACGCAACTCCAGAACGTGTAACACGCGCACACACACACATGTCTCTCCATACCGTTACGCTGCCCCCCCCCGGTCTTCTGCCCTGCGGTATGTGGCCCGCACGGATGCGAGCCGTGGTGTCCTCGGTGGCCTTCCTGTTAATGAGTGTCGCCTATGTGGTGATGTCGCTTTGCCGTTGTGCTCACCTAGTGCAGAGATGCAGAGACGAGCAGCCGAAGGCCTTGCGCGCTGCGACAGGTTGCCCGGCAGCATGGCCGCCATTAGCACCGAGGGCTTGTCCTCTCTGAAAACAGTCCCATTGCCACACACGACCCCCTTGCGGCTCGTCTCTTACCCCTCTTGGTTTGCTCGATCGAGTTGGCTGATGGTGTCGTGTTCAATCGGCCCCGTCGGCCGCCGGCGCCGCCCCCACGGCAGGTAATCCGCTTCACCTGGGCCACCGGCGGTAGCCTCACCCTCATCTTGCTCGTCCTGTGGCCCATCCTGGCGCTGCCTGCGGGTGTCTTCAGTGAGGCCTACTTTACGTGAGTAATGGAGGCGGCGGGTCGGGCTGGGTTAAGTTTGTCCGGGTCTACTTGGCGGGTCGTAGGATGTTGGGTATAAACGTCTGACAGCTGAGCACCTCATGTAACCCGCCTTCGCGCACATCCAACCATTTCCGTACCCAAGCCTCTCCTGCTTTTGCTTCCCGCCTCCCACACGCTCTCATCCAACCCTTAGGCCCCTAGGAAGTCTTCCGTCCTGTCTTCTCGCTCTCTGTTCATACCTCTTCCAACGGCGATATTCCACCAATTGCACTGACTCTCCACTAATTCCTATCTAATTTCCAACGCTCACTCACACGAACACCTCTCAAGGCGGCCCCTGTAGCGGGTGTAGGTGTAGGTGTAGGTGGATAACTCCCGTTATCGGCGCTACCCCATTACCGGTGGTTTCTCCTTACCCCACCCCGAACTCTGTGTGGGGACGTGCGCAGTTGTTAGTGCTATCCTCTATTGACACTTGTGCACGTACTTAAAATTGTCCCATCACCAGTTTCTGGGTGATGGTGGCTTTGGTGTGGGGCATCGTGGCCTCCGCGGTATGCATCATGCTGCCCGTCATTGAGGCCAGCGATGTGGTGGTGGCGGTGCTACGAGGCCGGCGCCTGTCCAGCATCAGCAACAGCTCCCCGCAGCATAGCAAGGAGACCACCGCGCACCTGGACCAGCCGACGTCCACACGCTTGCGGACGTGAGAGCTCCGGCACGTACCAAGCTGCAGGGAAGCAAGCCGAAGGCAGGTGGGGGACCCCCGGGCGGCGGGAGCAGGAACGGTGGCGCGTGATGCGGCGCCATGCACCGAGTCGGAGCGGCTGGCGCGGTAAGGCGGGAGCGGCGGGAGCGTGCTCCGTGACGGCCTTCATCGAGCCGGTGGAATGGCGTCAGCGGTGTGTGTTTGCTTGTATGGGGGGTGAAGGAAAGGGGGGTTGAGTGATGGGCCTGGGTGGCCTGGTGGTTGCGAGTGTCCTTACACGAACCTCTGCAAACTGAGTACCGGGTGTGACCACCCGTCATCAAGCGCAGGCGCAAACACTGCATTGTATACTGTGTGTATGTAGTACTAGTGTTTTGTACATAACGTGCATTGTACGGCCCGTATGAGGCCCGTATGTAAGCTATGCCGGACATCCGTATGGGAGAAGGGTGGGCCCGAAAACCCCTGCAGGCCACCGGAAGGGTTGCATCCTTAGCCCAGCAGCCTTCGACCTTCACCGGGGATTTTCGTCCCGACTTCGGCCGGTTGAGGCGGGAGAGCCTGGTGCCGGTTGAGGCGGGGCGTGTGAGCCCAGAGAACTACTTTTGCTTCTCCAGCAGGTGTTTGGAAAAGACGTTGAACGATAGGAGCGGAACGTTGAGCGGAAGGACACTTCTTGCGCCTCTTGAACAAATTGGCCATGGTATGCTCACTATGTGTTATGGAGCACAGGCTTGCCGATATCGCAGACAGCCCTCGGGAGATCGCTGTCTTCGAATATGGGGTTGAGTGGCGGCAGGGCGGGGTACCTGACGGGGGTGGTGCAGGGCGGGGCAGGGGGGAAAACAGGTCCGGAGAGCTGCGGAGGGGACAGGCGCAGCTGAGGTGGAGTTGTCTGGGTGGCGAAGCTGCTATGTCTGGTATTTTACTCAACAACTCTCAACCGCATATCACACGCTGCTTTGTGTGTGTGTGCGGTGCTGGAAAATTTTTAATGTGCGATCACGTGATTTTTTGTTTATCGATGCATCGCTCATCCCTTTGTTGCTGTTGTGGAGCTTTTTCATTATACATCACTTTCTTTGTTATTATGCTCGTCGACTGGAGCTTGCGCACTTGCTCATACCTGCAAGTCCTATGGCTCGCGCACCACACCCTGCTGGTATAGTGGTGGCGGCGGTGGTGTCGCCGCTATTGTTTCTGGGCCGCGTGTGGAGCAAGGGGCACGCCATGTCCCCAGATTCCTTGTGTCATTGAGCGCAGCGGAACCGGCCGTACCCATGCTCACCACGACGGAGTCAAGCCCGGCGGAGCTGCGCTTTGAGTGATTCGTTTGGTTGTGCTGTTGTAACGATTCATTGCCGCGGGGTGTGATTGACGTGGTCTTTGAAGTTATAAAGCGGGGGTCGCACGCACGTGGACAGGTGTTGCGTTCATTGCACTACTTCCGACCAAGCAGAAGCATTATTTCCAGTACCAGAGCATACGATGGCCCTTTAATTTACATTACATCTGCATGTTTCCTATTTACATGACCCCTGGTTGGCTGTCGTTGGCCATAGTTAGATCTCGTCAGTTGGTTTGCGCCTGAGACAGGGCCACCTACGAACTCTGCCCATGGAGGGCTGATGGAGTTTTAGTTCGGGGAGGTCATGGAAGGTTGATGGCTATGGCATGCACGGAAGTGTCTGACATCGGCGATGTGGATATGGATGGACGGGCACTGCCTAGGGCTACATTAGGGCCGCAAATGCAGCGTAGATGCATCACATGCTTGGGGGGCGCGGGTTCGACAAGTGTATGCCGGGTAACAGTCTCGCCTGGAGAAGGCAGATGGGCGTAAGGGTGCATGTGCCACATCAAGGCAACAACTGCGGCTCTATGCATTGTATGTGGGAAATAGTTTTCCTCTCGACTGGATGGAAATTACTGGACCCCATCGGAACGGCTCTCTCTGGGCTTGATGGCAGCATGGTGTTCATATGCTACTGATTTTTGGATGTGCAGGCAATGCTTTTCTCGTTCAGAGAAGTTTTCCAGAAGATGATGTCCTGGTTGGTTTCGGATCTGTAGGATTTGGCGATTTGGGTCTTATGGGATTTCGCGCTAACGGCGGTGACAAGGGTAAACTGCATGGTGGTGATATCTAATGGTGATGATATATAGCGGGGAACCGCCATGCTGTAACATCATCAACTTCGTTGAGTCTTCCCTTCGCAGTATCTTAACTCTTCCCCGGTTGAAGCTCTGCTGTTAGTTACAGTGACCTACGAACCTTAACCAACACTGTGTCATCCGGACTCGACCGGTACTCCCAACCGATTACCTAACCCCACCCCGCTGGAAACCCCACATGCTCAGCTCCTAGCCCGTATAGGCTTTTAGCCTATCCCTGCGTGTCCGCAAATCATCCCCCAACAAACTAACACAAAAAAACCTCCCTGTCAAGCAACTGCACTAGCAAATATTTGTTTCCTTGGCTCCAACCCCTCAACTACAAAAGCCGCGATAATGCTACCAGTCTTGTCTCTCCCCATCGTCCCCCAAACACAGCTCACCTTGCCCCCCTAACGTATCCTGTCCCCTATTCGTGTTGACTCAGCGACACACACACACATAGTCACACCCCTGCGGCTCTCGGCTGCTTAGGAAGGGGAAGGCGCCCCTTGCGCCCCTCTCCCGTCCGCGTGAGAGACCTTAGGCGGTCTTTCCGTTGGGGCTGGGCAGCAGTCCCTGGCCAGTGTCAGACCCGGTCAGATACTTATACCTTCACACACGCCACACACACACACACACACACACACACGTTCCACTTATAATCTCCTACCCCGCACCCTTGACCCCCAAAGTCTTTCCTTGGCATCAGCTTCACTCGTTCGTGGTTCGTCTTCCCCCCCTTGCCTTCCCCCCCTAGGAGGAGGTGGCCATGCCCGGGTTTGCGTCAGCAGTCCTTGACGCCCTCCCCCTCCCCGTTCACCCCCTCCCCGTCCTCGGCTGGTAGTCCTACCAGTGCCGCACTCACCGCCCACAGCTCAGCGGCTAGACGGGGGTTGCGAGCCGAAGACTGCGCGAACGGGCGAACGGAGGTGTGGATAGGCAGATGGAGGACGGATAAGCTTCGCAGGCAAGGCTGAAAGCTTTGGACATACATACATGCATACAAACATGTGCACATAGAATCCACGGTGAAGCCGGCCCCAAAAACATATTATTGGGTTGGATCAAAGGACTTGGCGGAGAGCAATGACGAACGTGAGTGGCCAGACAGCTCGGCGGATGTCCTTTGATCGGGGTGGCTCGCAGGGGAAAGGAGAGTGCATGTGTGTGCGCTCCCCGCCCTCCCTCCCACCCTCCCTCCTACCATCAACTACCCAAGCTCCGCCCAATGAGGACCGCGGCGACCTTTCCCTCCCAACACTCCCCTCCTTCCGCCTTTGACCATGGCGCACTTCACTCCCCCCTTCCACCCGTCCCCCCCGTCTCCCGCCTCAGCCGCTCACCGAGGGGGTCATCTCCCGACAGTCGTGAAGGAACAGAGCATCGCGACCCTGTCAGCAGGCAGCCCCAGTGGGACAGAAGGGGGAGGTGGATGGCGAGGGGAAGAGGGGGGAACGAAGAGGAGGGGGCGAAGTAAGGTTGGGTCCTAGAGGAGCAGGATGGGAAAGTGGGGAACGACAACAAAACACACACACACGTACATACACGCGCGCACTTGCGCACACATATGTCCAGCCGTACAACTAAGCTGACCTCGAGTTCCGGGTCGCTTGCGGCGAAAACTACCACCTCCGCGCCCTGAGGAGGGAAATGTAAGGGTGTAAGGGTGGGGTGAAAGGAGGGAAATTAATATGCAGAACGGCCCACTTTAATGATGAGGAGAGCGCGCAAGAGAAAGAGAGTAAGGGCGCTTAGGAAATTAGGGAGGAGAACGACGAGGAGTGCGAGGAAAAAGGTAACCGGACCCAAACCGAACGACCTATGGAGGAGAAAGGTGTAAGGCCTCGCCGAACGAGTCGTATTCCGGTCCGTACTTTCCGTACCTGCTGGGGTGTACGGAAGAAAGGTCGCAACGGCGTCTTAAGCCAGTGGGCCCAGGCCGGCAACAGATACCTGGGTGGCAGCGGATCCGGAACCGGTTCGATGAGGGTTGGTTGGTCGGTTGGTTAGTTAGTCGGTTGGCTGCTAGGAAGCATTCTCTCCCAAAATGGAGATGCGTTGAAAACGACGGCGAGTATATGTGTGTGTGTTGGGGGGCGAGTCTTGTGTTCAAGATGGAGTTGGGGCCGGTGGTGGGGCCGGGGAGGAGGGGGGAGGAGTTGGGAGTTAAGAAACGGATTCCAGGTAGCCCCCCCATTAAAACCAAACCAAAACACACATGCACGCTAAGTTGCTCGTGAGCCAGCCATCCGCGCCATTCCCTGGTTCATACTCGAGGCGCCGTCCCTTACATAACACACATAAACACACACACGCCCGCGCGCACAGAGGAAACTACCTTCTGCCCAAGGAGAGCGCCCACCTCGCTCACCGGAATATACCCGTATCCACCATTCCCGGACTGACTGCATAAGCCCCAATACCGCGGCGGGAGGAATGAAGACCACTACCACCACCACCACCACCGCCGCCGTCGTCGTCGTCGTCTGGGCTGGCAGCCATTCTGTTCGTGGGCGAGAAGTTGCCGTACCCGTGCCCATACCGTCGCTGTAGCTCCGCCGTGAAAAGTACGTTGCACAGTTTGGACCTGGCGTACTGCCACCACCTGGGGGGTGGGGGGGAAATGGGTGCGGGGTGGGGGCTGTGGGCTTAGCGTGTTAGCGTGTGAGTTAGGCGGTGCTGGGGGGGGGGAAAGGGGGGGGGGGGAGACGGACCACGAGCGAGTGACGGGGAGGGGGGATGCAAGTACGGCAAGTGCGACCCTAGCGGTAACCCAGCTTGGAGTCCTCTTCCGCAGTCGTGTAACCCACACGGCCCGTAACCGCCCGCGGGGAACCTCACCCCCGTGTGACTAACGAGCACACTCCCAACGCTCCCCTACCACCTCCATCAATCCAACCCAAACCCATCAGTGCCCTGGGGACCCCTCCCATGACCCGGGTGGGGCCCCTTCCCTCTTCATTCGCCCCTTCCCCCCCTCTCTTCCCCATATACACACACACACACACCACCCTTGTCCACGGCTTCGAGGAATCGCACCAGTGGTGGGTGTCATTACGGATCGCTTTCGCGCCATGTGGCCCCGAAACCAGCGACAGCGACCCGCCGTAATGGGCCCGACTGGCGACATTCACAATCCGCGACCCGTGGGTCATGTGGGGCAGTAGCAGCCGCGTCAGCAAGTACGGCCCCAGGTGGTTGGCTGTTAGGTGGCGGTCCGAGCCGTCATTCGCCGGAGAAACACCCATAACACCTGCGATATGCAACGAACGACAGGGGCTGCGAAGTCGAACAAATAAAACACGCCGTACATGGAATATCGTACGGCACATGGCACAAAGGACTGGAATGATATGTGAAGTGCTAAGGCGCCGGTGCCGAACGTGGTACCACAGAGCCCTCTCCCGCCGTCCTCTTGACAGCCTTGTTTCACGCCATGGCTTCCATGGAGACCCGCCCCCCCCCCCGGTTTCCCCTCCGGGCCCCCCCCCGGCCCCAAACCCCCACGCAAGCACCCGACACACTAGCAGATCTCGCACCCGCGTTGTTGACCAGCACATCCACGTGGCGCGGTTGTCCCGGTCCTCTGCCAGGTGTTGCCGTACCAGCCGACAGCTCAGTGGATTGTTGTCGTACAAACGCACGGATTGAGCTAAAGTCCTGCGGGTATGGGCACCGTGGGCCAACGCGCAGCTCAGGCCGGGGGCAGGGGGATTGAGGAGAAAGAGGAGGTGGGAGGCGAAAGAAGAGGTCGTTCGGGATTCCATACACTTCAGCCTGGGTCAGTTCTGGACCACGTCCCGGGCTTCAACCCCCCAGGGAAAGGCTGTATGTATGTATGATGTGTGGGACAGGGGGTTCATATCTTCACCCTGCGGCCGCTACCCGGCAGACCCTGCCTTCCCCGGTATTTCGGGGCACCCTCATCCAGTCAACCAAGCCAACTTCTCAGTGGATCGCTCAGGTTCCGCACCCACCACCAGCATCCAACGGAATCTGCCGGATCGACGGCGGCTCAACTCCATTACTGGTCAGCTCGCAAGATCACTTTATCCCAGGTCACCATCGTCCATCGACTAGGGGCATTTTTACCTTCCACCATTGGAAGAATTTTCGACCCCGACAGGTCTCGATCCCGGAACCTCCGGGGGCATCATCTTTACCAGTAGTGCATGACCTAGTATAGCCTATGTAAGTATGAAAGTATGTATGTATGCAAGTAAGTAAATGTATTGGGCAGCGGAGTATCAGAAGGTCCCAAGATTACCACCCGCGGAGGGAGGGCTGCGGCGGCGCCAACCCCGGTGGTGGTCTTCTGGCTGAGAGGCGGCTGCGCAAACCCCACCCGGCGGGAGGGGTTGAACGGGGCCCCACCGGTTTCGCGCGGGTCCCACTCATATCCCCTCTTTTCCTCCCTCCTTCGCATTAGCCCTCCATCCGTGGACGCGCGGCTCTGGTGCAGTCACGGGCGCCGTGGGGGTCATGTTCCCCGCATTTAAATTCGAATTGGGCAGGGATTGCCGTGACGTCGTACCTCTAGATCTATCGCCCTGCAGGCGCAGCTGCCGGCCAGGCCTTCAGCCTGAAGGATTCCCGCTCGGCCAGGGACGAGGGAAGTTGAGGTATAGGGGACGCAGGCGCGCCAGGTAAATTCGAAGAGAGACACGGACTACTTAGGGTGGCGTGAAGAGTGAATTAGCGAGTCAGTGATGTCTTTTGCATGTGAAAGGCTTTTTTGGGTTCAAGGGACGTACGCACCGCCTGGCGAACCTGGGTACCAACCCCCGGGGGCTAAATGGCTATATAGGGTTTGACACCCCGATGACTAAATCCGGCGAATATATAGCCACATGAAACAAGCGCACGAGAGCAGACGACGCGCAGATCTGTTCACCTTGTGAGCTATCGACACGAGCCACTTCATCAACTCCTTCTTCTTCTTCTCCTTCTTCTTTTTTCCAAAACGCGCGCGCTCTTCCCCCACGCGGCCTCACCCATCCCATGTCCTACGACATTTCATGTCGCACCCCGGGAGGTCAGTGTGCGACAGCCACCTCCCTGTTCCCGAGCAGTTTAAACTCACGCACACCCACCCTTAGCGCGGCAGCCGCTTCCTCGCATGTGGCCATGTTGCGACACGCCATGACCACGTGGGCCCCGCGCCGCATAAGGCCCCGCGCCACCTGCAGACCTGTAGCAGGTGCCAGGTGTGCGTGTGCGGACTTTGTGGGCTGTGCGGAGTGCGGGGGGGGGGGTTTAGGGAAGGAGCGAGGTGGTAACGGCTGTACACGCTACCCTAGGTTGTGCAGTTCACTTACCGATGCCGCTATTCGCCCCCGTGACGATGCAGTACTTGCCCTCCATCAAGCGATCCTCCGAAACCATAGTGCCGGAGGGGACTTCACCTTGGCTGGTAATGGTGGTGGTGGTGGTCGCATCGCCTGCTGTGATACGAGCTCCAACGGGCTGCTGCTGCTGCTGCTGCTGCTGCTGCTGGGCTGTGCAAGTGCCAGCGGTGCCAGCATTGCCGGCTTGGCGGCCAGGAGGAGCGGGCGCCACCATAACGGAGCTGTTGCGCTCACAATTAGGGTTTTGGAGTCCCCTCCCGTAGCTCCTAGTCCAGTTCCTCAGCTGATGGTGACCTGCCGGAAAGTCTTTGCGTGTTCATGATGGATGGGTGGGCATGATGATGGGCGATGTTTAGCTTCTGAGTTGTTCTTTTTGGGCTGGTGCTAAAATGGAGTACTTCACTCAGTCCGTTAGTCAAAAGAGGCCTGACCTAGGATAAAGTGTAGACCAGAAGGCGCAGCGGGTGTTCCTGCGAAACCCGGCGCTTCCCTCTCAGTCAACTAGGGGCATCCCGGCAGTCATATTTTGGCGAGAAGTCGGTGAGCCACGTTCCTCCGTGCCCCCCTATACCTTCCCGGGCGCTCACAGGCAAGTAGTAATAACAGGTCTGTCCTCTGAAGCCAGATGGAATTGCCTCGTTTCTCAAACACTAACTTGCCCTGTCTCCGCAATTGGGGCACCGTCGCTTCTCATCATAAGCGGTTCAATTCTTTACTTGCTAGACGAGTATAATTGCAGTCTTTTCGTCATAGCTTGAGTCGGGCCCACTTACTGCCAGCAACCGTACTCACGCAGCTTGACTTTTTGCAACAAGTCTCATGTGTTCGCGTGAGCTAGTATTTGTTTCCGCAAGGAAAACACAGGTTGGGGCCGATCGGTGCAAAGCTGATGGGGCCTTATGCTTAAATCGGTCATCAGGTGGTATCCCGTGCGCAAACGGTAATTATTCTTTTTTAGAACAGCAGTCGTTTGTTAATAAAATTTACACCAAGGTAAGGGTACTTGTTGCCTTAACCTGTGCCTTGCAATTTTTGCAGAAAAAACGCCTTCACGTTTCAATATGTCCGAAACCTTCCTTATTCCCCAGAACGGGTCCCGGAAATCGAATTCATCGTTTGCAGCATCTCCTGAGCCAGGCGGGGCGAGTGCTGAGGAGCTAGCCGCCAAGGAAAACATGACCGAGAACGGCAGCGGGGTGGCCAAATCCGCATCCTTCCTGGACGTGCGCAGCGTTGAGGATGCGGCCGGAACCCCTCCCCTCAAGCGATCCAAGCTGAACACGGTGGTAAATTTGCTGGAGGCTAGGACGGCTGTACAGGTGCGTGATTCGACATGCTTGATAATACTGGCATAATAACCAAACAGCATATGTAGATCTGCAATTCTGCAATATGTTCATGCAAAATTTAGCGAAGGAATGCCCCGTGCAGCGCATCATGCGTGCAAGGCGGGAAGTTGTTACAACGTCCCTTTTCACAACGGTTGCATCCGACTTGCCAGTTGCCTTCCTAGAGAACTTTACTGTGCAAATCAATGTTTACATGTCAAAGGTCCTTGCTACAACAACTGGAACTGCACCTAACCAGAAGTGCACCCACATGTATGCAAAGCTCAATCCGGTTCAGTAATGCTCACATACACGTGAGCTTCTGCATTCAAGCTATTCACCCACTCCTAGTTTACCTGTTAGACGTGATGACTAATGCCGGCATGGCAGATGGGTTCTGACTGAGCCGTGCTCTGCCAGCTCACCTGTTAACCCACATCTCCCTCTTTCCCCGCCCAGCGTTCTGTCCGCCCAGCTAACGACCAACTCGCTTCAGCTTCAGCTGTTGCTAGCCTGGTCTCAAGTCCTCAATTGCCCTTCCTTACCATTTCAAGTTTAAGTTGAAGTACCCTTACACATATATCCCAAACCCAAATCCGATTCGTTACCACCATCGAACCCCCGCACCTGCTCTTCTAGGAGCATGAGAACGAAGTTGCGGAAGTTGTCATCGTGTGCGAGCCGGAGCAGGCCTCCCTCATGATGGGCGGCCTGCACCCACGCGGCTCTCTGTTTGAGCGCCCGGTCAACATTGATACGGCCAAGCAGCAGCACGGGGAGTTCCGCAAGGTAGGCCGTGTCTGTGCGGAAGGCGCGCATGGAGACGTGTGTGAGTTTCTGTACCGGGAAAACCTCTCTTCACGGCAGCCCGGGTGCCGATAGGTGGTCTAAGGGACGCCGGAGCAGAGGAAATGCAGTGTGCAAACGCGCCACCCTCCCCCGTGGCGTCACAGGCTTGACTAAGTGTCCTATCCACACACACCCACTCCACCCCTACACTCTCCTTGTTAGTGAGCCTGGGAGAGAGGGGAGGAGTACGGCTTTAGGGATGGCACCGGACTGGCCCTGCATGACGCATGTCGTCAAATGCACATCGTCATGGTCGCGGAATAACCCCTCACCTGCATATGCAAGTTGCGGCTCGGACTGTAGATACTGACACAAATCGATTGATTACTGGACAGGCTCTGAAAATGGTAGGATCTGAAAGTTAATAAGTCAGTCAAGGAACTTTGCCCTGTTATGCAACCTCAACTTCACTTGTGATTTGAGCTCCTTCGGATCCGGGCCCTCAGGCAGTTGTTTCTTCGACTAATGTATTTTGTTCCCGCTCCGGGCCCTATGAACCCGGCCTCCTAAACGCCACATGCTGCCGTACATCCTAATACGCTGACTAACTAACTGAACCCCTTACCAGTTTGTGCGCGTTCGCACGAAAGCCGCTGAGCGCTGCCCGTGAGCACTACATACAACAGACTTGCCAGCCACCTCATCCCCTGTCACGCGTTTATGTTTGTTCCCTGCCAGGTTCTTCGCGAGCACGGTGTCCGTGTGTTGACGGTTCGTGAGATCCTGGCCTACCAGGTGGATACGAACATGTCTGCCCGGGTGGACTTGGAGGAGCTGGCGTTCGGGGCACTCACGTACGAGATGGCGCCGGGACACGAGCTCGTGGTGAGCATGTACTGTGATAGCGCCCCTCTTAAGTGGACGTGGTGTCTGGTCTCATGATTGGGGGAAGAGGAGCCGAAGCTGGGCGTGACCCGGCCCGACCGCGATTTCGTGTCGAGGTTGGAAACGGCGGTTTCAAGGTGGTTTGAGGCGGTTGTACAAAATAGGAACTTTTTTGTCCGGGGCCCCCGGGCAGCCGGGGGGGGGGAAAATGCGGGGTTGAGCAATATGAGTGTACCGTGTTTTTCCCCTCTAGCCAATATTGCCTGTGGAGTTCTTCTGCTCCTGGGTTTGCGGCAGCCGATTAGGAATATGTAAGGGGGCCGCGCCCGGCAGAAGAGAGGCGGCATCGAGCAGCTACCCACGCATTCATCGTTTACCGGTGTGCGGCCTTTATTGGCCAACACGCGTACCACTTCGCCACCTGCGTACTTCGCCATCCCGGACGACCGTCCGCTGCCCTTCGAAGCCGCGTTCGGTGTCGGTGTCGTGTTTTACTTTGGGAAGCTTGACTGCACATGACGACTCTCTCACCACATGACGGCTCTCTCGCCGCACTCAGGCACTTGCGGAGGCGGACCGTCATTACCTGTCCGACGCGTACAAGCGCGAGGTGAGATCGAAGACGCGGGGGCGTCACGACACCGCGGGGTGGTGGTGGTGGTGGTGTGTCAAGTGAAAGCAAAACAGCATCAGCAGTCAGGGGAACACTACGTGCGTGTGCGTGTATGTGTGAGTGTGTGTGTATGTGTGTGAGTGTGTGTGTGTGTGTGTGGTGACATCTCTTGAGTTGCGTTACTCTCCGAAGGTGTAACGAGAGCCCAATATGAACCATCATGGGGGGGATCTTACAGGGGGGAATTCACGCCCTCCATTAGCTTACATGCTACTTGAAATTAGATTACACACGACTCCATGTAACATTAGATTACACACGACTCTCTCCATTAGAAATTATTTTGTGTGATCCCCGGCCGTGTTGTGTTTCCTTTCAGTGCTTCCTTCGCTGCAACATTGTGTGTGATGTGCAATTGGCTGATTTCCCCCCCCCCTCAGGTGATCAGCCACATGAGTACGACACAGCTGATCGATACGGTGATGACCAACCCCACTGTATCGCTCCTGCCATCGTACCGGGACACGGGTCTTACTGCGTCGTACAGATTCGAGCCCCTGTCCAACCTTGTCTACACTCGCGATCAACAGATCACCACCTGCAAGTGCGTTTTACTGCCTCAGGGGGGCCCTTGTGCATGACTGGGTGTGGCGTTGTGGGGAGGGACATCCACTTCATCACGTACCCCCCTTCGTCTCGCGTTATGTATGTCCCACTAGCACTAGCACTAGCATTAGCCCTAGCGCACAATTTCGACACAGCGACATTGAACACGTATCTCGACGAGCTCTGCAACCAGGTCAGGACCTCAGCTTCGTTCTTCCACCGTGGCCAGGGCGAATAAAGGCAGTCAGCCGTGTCCTCGTGTCAAGACGGCCGCTTTGGAGCTCCTAGCTGACCCTGGATGGGAAGGGGAATGATGGACTCATCACGGTTCATTAACCTTTTCTTCACGCCTTCCCTTTTCCTCCGTGCCGTGCCGTGCCGTGTCCTGTTGCGGCACGCAGGGGCACTGTGATGGGTCGCCTCCGCAGCGCACAGCGGCAGCGGGAGGTGTATGTGATGCGCTTCTGCTTTAACAAGCTGGGTGAGCACCGCGGAGTCTTGGTGGTGGTGGTGGGGGGGGGTGCAGGCACATGGGGCGGGATTGGAACGGGGCGCTGGGAAGCAAGGAAAAGCCACGGATGGAGGGCTGTTGTACAGCTTTGTTGTCTCTCCCGCGCGTCGATTGGTTTATCAGTCCCCAGTGAGTCGACAGTGAGACAGACATCAGTGGCATCACCGTCAGCATGAGCATCCTGAGTCTCGTGCCATGAGAGCCGCGGACCCTCATAGCCGTAGACTAGCTGGGGGGCTTGCCTACTCCATGACTCCATAGCCGAAGAAACAGGACGACTGCAAGCGGCTAACCGGTAGCCTTGGTCGTCCTCGTCCTCCTGTGCACATGGCCCTCCCCTCCCCTGCAGGCATGGCGGTGGCGGGAGAGATTCGCGACCCGGGTTTCCTAGAGGTGGGCCGCCCGACCGGTGGATGGGAATATGAAGGGAGGGAGCCCCATCGGGGGTACGACGAAGTACAGGCGATTGACGAAAAGAAAATACAATAATAAGACGGATAATACTCCAAGATTAGACCAATACTATTGGACAAAGTGAGGGGTTGAGACCTGATGGGGGGGTGGGTGAGGCCGAATTGGGGGGAAGGGGGAATGGAAAAGGGGAAATGGGATCGGACGAGGCGAAGGTGCGAGGGAGGTGGAGGTGAGTTGTCCCGAGAGACGTCCCGCGTGGGGAGTCCAGGGGCGGAAAGCCGCAGCTGGTGGTGGTGGTGGTGGTTGCGCGAACCGCACGGGCTCATGTCCCCTGCCCGCTCCGCAAAGCCCTTAACCACGCGTCACTGGGGGTTCCCTGCGCACGCACACGACACGCACATGCTCGCATAACCGACAACGCACACCGGCATCCGAGTTTCCGCAATCGAAGAAATGATAATCGACTTCGTTGCCGAGCCAATTGCTGTTTGCGGTTGGTCGAGACAATCAAACCTGTCTCTTCAAGCATCTATCTGCATTTGCGAATAGCCGTGCCATGGTGCTAGGCTTTCCTGACCTGATGTTAACAAGTTCTAGTGATAGTGGTAAATAGTACCATGCAATGAAATTTCATATTTCATTCCCTTGTTGTCGTCCGCTGTGACCCTTGTGGTGCTACAGGGCGGCGACTTCTTCCCCATGGGGCCCGACCTGGCCATGGCGGGCATTGGACTTCGCTCCAACCTGGCTGCGTGCAAGCAGCTCATGGACGAGGACCTGCTAGGTACTCGCCGCTTTGCGGTGGTGCGGGATGACTTCGACCAGCACCAGGTGTGTCGGTGTGTTGGTGTTGGCGTGTTGGTGCTTCTGCATGGGATTTTGTCGTTAGCTGAAGGGCCCGCGTCGGAGATGCGGAGTCTGGCTGGATCTTGGCCCTGACAGACGGGGATTAGGGATTATTAAGGGCAAGCCGGGGGACTGTGTGCTTGGGGGGGGGAGGCCAGGGGCTCAGAAAGGGTGTTTGCCCGTCCCGCCCTGCCCCGGTCCCCGCTTATGCGCTTTTCCTCCAGGGCTTCCGCCTGCATGGCCTTTCCAACGTTCCCCTATTCCCCTCTCCTCACTGCTCACTCCTTTCGTAAGGCCGCTCCATCTTTTTTCCCTTAATCGTAATGCTGCGCGCGTTGCCTCACCGTTGCACCATTCGTGTCACGCATGTCTAATAGCAGTAATATTTTAAAGGTTCACATATCTGTCGTAGTCTTGCGACGGTCGTTTCACGTTCCTCAGTCGCCATGGTCCTTTGCCCCTCGCTTCCCAGGATCGCATGCACCTCGACTGCGTATTTTCCGTGTTGTCGGACACGTGCTGCATCATGTTGGCCGACATCATGGGGGAGGACTCCCCGACTCGCCGACTGGTGGATGAGTACACGCGGGACCCCGAGACTGGAAAGTACAAACTGACCAGGTGTGGAGAGATTCAGGAAGGCTGGGAGAGGGAGGGGATAGGATTGGAGAGAGAGGGGGGAAATGGCCAACGAAAGAGAGAGAGAGGTATCGACAGCACCTCTTGAGGACGGCGAGGAGAGAGGAGGAGGGCTCTGGGGGCGTGTGGCCGGGGGGAGAGAAGTCGAGGATGCGTGTGTGAGGAGGGCTCTGGGGTCCGCTGCTGAACGCGCATCGCGGAGGATGTGGTGCCGTTACCGTAACAACGTCTTTCTCGCCCGCTTAATCCTTTTGCCCCTGCTGCATCTCTGTTTCATAATTACCATGTCCAAGAGATATCTCACACGAACGTCGGAAGGAATGTTATGATTCGGCCAACATCTTGTCGAGATACAAACTTGTGCAGTTTAGGTGCTTACCTTAGGCTGGTGTTTTCATACTTACACTCGAATGTGATTGTTTTTTTCATTCTTATCATGTCTCCTAATTCCTCCGTACCTCTCCTGTCCTGTCCTGCTCACCTCCATTCTTAGGGAGGGTATTGAGTTCTCCGCCTTCATCTCTGGCGAGGGCTACCACATCATCCCCATCTCCAACGAGCACCAGCTGCAGTACGCCTGCAACGTGCTCAACCTGGGCGACTCAAGGATCATCTCGGTGCACGCGCAGAGCGCCCGCCAGATTGTAAGGGACCCGCACTTCACTGGCGACGTGCAGGCGAGTAGCACCCGGTGTGCATGTGGTTGCCCTTGAAGACGCGTGTGGGGCGCTGTGGCACCTGTGTGTGGGGGGGTCAGGAGGAGGTTCGGACCTGAAGGAGGGAAAGAAGAAGGTGAACAAGACGGCGGACTCTATTGACTCGGGCCTTCGGAGGTCATGGAGTACATCGGGGGGTGGGCGAGGCATCTCAGGACTGGGATGCGGAGGCCGGGAGAAGCGTTGTTTTGCTCGGGTCCCCTTTTCCTCTCCCTTTCCCTACTTGGAGATATGCAGCCAGGCGGTAGTGGTAATGGGTGCCTTGGGATTATGAATTCGCGAACCGGCCGCTTAATTCCTCCACCAATTTCTGATTGAAAGCGATGGGCCACCTTAACTTTACCCGCTTTATTTTGACCGCATTTTTTCTAAATTGGTGGTTCTCGTGCAGGTGATTGACTTCTCGTCTATCACGTCCATGTACGGCAGCGTCCACTGCGCTTCCCAGGTGGTGAAGCGCGTGCCTCGGACGAGCAAGTAGGGGGCGAGGACGTGTCACTGCCTCTAGCCAGTGGCTTAGCGGCCTGTTGGCAGAGGAAACGGAAACAGGAAAAGGAAATAATTGCTTCGGCGGCGCGGGATTACGTGGGGCAGGGCTGCTGGGAGGCCTTTTTGGCTGCTGCGCCCTCTTCCCGTGTGATGGCGCTGTAGGGCTTCTGTTTCCATTCGGGCGAAAGGAAACGGGACCGGATGAGCTCAGGCCTTTCCCCAGCAGAGAGCAGCTCGGAGCGAGGGCGGATGTGAGGGGGGCGAGATAGGGACGAGGCGAGGCTGGGACCGGTAGTGGATGGTTCGGACACCGGCATTGCGTGGCGAGGAGATACGTAGCGCGATTAGTAGCGCTAGGAATGAGGGCAGGAGGATCTAGGAAGGTGCAGGAGGCCGCTGTGACTGCTGCTGCTGCTACAGCTGCTACTGTTAATGGTAAGACCACAAGATGCTGATGTACGACGCGAGGGGTTTCGGCGGGTTTTGTTGTGGGGGCCGCAGGAGTGATGCGTGTGGACGTCGGTGGACGTGGAGGAGGATAGAGGAGCGACGGGACCTGGAGCGAAGTGCGAATGCCGCTGGGGGAGTGTTTTTATCAATCGGGACAGCCGTGGGTGAGGGGGCTGTACTGCTCGAACATCTTTAGCTCCTGCTGCCGTGACGACGTGAACAAATTCACGGATGCACTTTGCAAATGCACTTTCCAAGCCGCTGCCGGCAGCCATGTATTCCATTTCTCCAGTTTCTCCATTGGTTCCGCATATAAACGGCACTTCTGTGGCGAAGTTGTTTTCTTGTCCGCCCAAGTCGTTATATTTTTTATATTTTTGTCCTGGAATCCTATTTGGGATACAGAGGTGCTAGGCGGGGAACCCCCTCGCTCTACTGGGGTAAAAGTGGGTGGGGATTTACGAACTGGAGCTTCAGTGATATTGGTGGTCTTTCTTAGGGTGCGCTGTGTGCCGCAGTTCTTCTTGCGTTGCAAGGGCACCGTGCTGCGCTAAGAGCTGAGGGATGCCGCAATAGAGGAGCCTGAGTACGCCGTGTGTGTGTGTATGTATGTATGTATGTATGTATGTATGTATGTATGTGTCTATATGTGTGTTTTTGGAGCTGAGGGCTCTGTGAGCGGTGGTGGACGCAATTCAATAGTTATGAGACCCGAAAGTACGCACTGGCATCTTGACTGATCTGGCGGGGTCACAGCAAGTAGTGGCCCCTCAATGGCCCCCATTTCCCGTTTTGGCATTTTGAGCTATCCCTCGCCTTCGCTTCCGCGGGCCTACAGTGTTACCATGGGGTTGCTTTTCCCTAGTTCTGGCCTCAGCGCGCGTCGGCCCCCAGAGGTTCAAGCAAGGGGGCAAGGCGAGCTGCTGGTGTCAAGTAGCGGCCATCAAGACGGATTTGTCCTGCGAGTGGCACCCTGCCCTGGAGCGGGGGCGCAGAGCCTTGTTCGCATGTACATGGAGAGGTATAGGTGCACACAAGAGAGCTGCGGCCGCTGAGAGCGCGGAGGCGTGCGTCTGCAGCAGGAGCCATCTCAATGTTGAATAAGGAAAAGTACTTGTGGGGGGAATCACCGCGCTTTTGGCGCTGCTTAGGAGAGGGCAGTAGGCTGGGGGTGCTTGCCGATATGGCCTCTTCCTCACCTTGCCCTGTTTCATGGATCCGAGCTGCAGCCTGGTGTGTTCAGCACTTACGATATGCACGACGATATGCACAGCGACGGCCGGTGAGCGCATGGTAACATCGCACACCTTACCAGCCGCAACGTTGTCATCCCGGGGTGCAGGAGCATATAGCTGCACAGACAGCTGCTGGTGCGCGGCAGGATGTTCAGTCGCTTTCTCTATGGCGCTGGAGACGCGTGAGGCCAACTCGTCAAGCAAGTGTTCCGTGCGACATTTGGCGCTTTCGATGCGTTGTAGTGGCTGTAGGGCTTTGCCCTCCATGCTGTCATGCACAGCACAGCCGAAACCCTCCATGGCATGCGCATGAGGGGAGGATGGACATCTTTGCAATTATGAGACTTTGCGCTTCTTGCGCAGGCGCATGGATGATGCACCTGTGTGACTGCGCGCACCTCGCCTAGGTGCATGGATAAGACGTCCATGTCAAGGAAATCAGGTTGCATCAACAGGATCTACCTGTTTAGTTACCATGCATTACGGCGTAGCCCCGAGGGCGCGTAGCGATTAAGTTCCCGGGACCCGGGAGTTCGGGAAAAGTGTTGCGGCCTCTCGACTTTCACCGCTGTTTTTAATCAAGTCTGCAGTCCTTCTTCGCAATAGAGCAGCAGCTGAAGGGCCCTGAAAGCCTGTGCTTTTAGCCATGCTGGGATATTGAGGGGAGCCATGTTGCGGTGGGAGCCATGTTCGAGGGACGAAATTAATGACAGGAATTAGCACAGGAGAGGAAGCGAGGTCGGCGTTGCCAATGCCTAACGTTGAGCAATGCCTAACGCTGCAGCTGCGGAGGCTGTGGTCTTACGAAAACCTCCCTCTTTTAGCCAGGCTGATAGTACCGGTCCAAATGTAACGCACATTGAGCCAGCACGTCGTTGGGTCTATCGCTAGGGGTGCGGCTCCCCACGCCTGCAAAGCGCGTCCCCTTCCAGTAAGAGATTAGCAAGTAGACGCGTCGAGAAACACCCCTCTGCGGAGCGGGAGAGCCGTGGGCCCCTTTTCCCTGCTACTAACCCGCCTGAGACCAACATCGGGCTTAGCTCAGTGTCACAACTTGAGCTTACATGTGCTGGCAGGTGGCGCTATAAAAGTACGTTGTCGTAACGGCCTCCTGCAGCAGGAGCGGCACTGTCAGTGTGGATATGACTGCAAGTGGCTGTCGCGTAGGGCCACGAGCTTTGCATGGCATGAATGATGAGGCCTTCTGCATTTACTATAGTGTAAGTCTGAACTAAGAGGTAGCTCGTCGGTGCTGCGTGGCATAGTGAGTTCGGCTGGAAGATGCGGAGAGTGGGGTTTTGCTTGGCAGGCGGGGGTCACAAAGCTACTTGTGAGGAGGCAACCTGCAACAAATACGGATGATTTCATGAGGGCAGCAAAAATTCCCCAAAAGGAAGTGGGTCGTGGCATGTGTTCACCCGCAGGGCGCAAAAGAAGCAGCTCAACATGGCAGGCTCTACAGTTATTAGAGGAAGTGTGCAGAAGCCTTTATGAATACTTGCTTCATTGAATTAAGCAACTTTGCAGCTTGAGGATAATGGTCCGTAATGAGATACCATGCCAGCAGCCATTCAGCCTAAGCATCCATGGCTTACATGTAAAACATTTTGCGTTAGTAGATAATTGGTATTTCACACCAATTGGGACAAGCTTTGGTAGCAATCATCTGTGTACGGCAGCATTGGCGTTACATGTAAGAGAACTTTGAATGCCTACATTAGAGGCTTCTCCATCTTGAACCTGTGGACTGCTCTGGAGGTCGTTACCATATCGTCTTACTACCTCTTTTGAAAATGCAGGTAGGATGTCCACAGGTCCAATTGCTGACGCCGCAGCCGGCGAGTCGATCCCTGGCCACGCTTAGAGCACGCAACCTTCCTCGAGTAACTGAGTGCTGCTATACGTACATCAGAAACAGATCTGCGCGATAGCTGGTGCAAATGTGCTTGGCTTGCGCCGCATCTCACTTGCGCGTCGCGCTGTAACGCTTCACAACCCTCCTGGATAAGCAGCCTACCTTAGAATTTCCTAAACCAATAATTTTTCATTCCCATGCAAAGCCACGCTATTATTTTTGTTTGATCACTTTCGTCGCTTGCAGACCCAGATGCGTCGCTCCGGGCGTTGCTTCAGTGGCCGCCAGGCCGGCTCACGTCAGCTGCTGGTGCCGGCTAAGGGCGTTGCTGGCGGTCGCAGCCGCGTTCAGGTTGCCGCTCAGGCCGCTTTCCAAAAGGTGCTGATTGCCAACCGTGGCGAGATTGCAGTTCGTGTCATCCGTGCCTGCAAGGAGCTGGGCCTGCAGACCGTAGCCGTCTACTCGATTGCCGACAAGAACTCGCTCCACACGCTGGTGGGTGGAATTCAATTTTACATGTTGGAAGGCGGCCGGGGAAGGCGTTCCCCTCGAGGCATGGTACCTTGCGCCCCCCGGGTTGCGACTATTGAGGTTCTCTGGCAGGGCCACCAAAGTGTCACTTAAGAGCGAACTCAGGGACAGTTCGCTGCATCTGGTTCACCTCGGCCATTCCTTGGTCGTATCGGCTGCATGCGTTGGTACGACATGGAGACCTTGGCTTGTAACCGACCCTGGCGATCCGGTGGTTAAGGGAGACTGGACCATTTTTTCTTGAGCGACCTGCGTTAATTCGAATCCCGAGAGAACGTGTTGTTCTGTCCGATCAAGTTACCTTTTGTGCGTCGCCCCACTGTGGTGTTGGTGTCTTGGAGCTCATACGAAACGTAATTTGTTACGAGGAGATGGTCTCCTCTGCGTGTATCACGTGCTCCGAAACCACCATAACCCTTTTTAGCCCCTTCTTTATGTCCCCCTCTATACCCCTCCCTCCATCTCTCCCCCCCTGGCCTTCATCTTCTCCCTTTTCCCCCCCTTGTCCCTCTCCCCCCTTTTCTCCCCTTCGCGGGTCTATCGACCCGGCCATCCAGTTGGCTGATGAGGCGGTGTGTATTGGTGACGCACCCTCTTCGGAGTCGTACCTGAACATTCCGAACCTGTTGGCGGCGGCGGTCAGCCGGGGTGCGCAGGCCATTCACCCGGTAAGGAGTTGCCGGAAACCGTTGGGGGACTGGCGGGTCAGCGCTCAGTGGGCGTGCTGGTCGGTCCATTGTCGTTGTTGTGATTGTAGGGATGGTGGATTAGGTGGTCAGTTGTCGTTCGGTTGGCGGCAGTGCTTTTAAAAGTGGTTACTAGGTGGTGACCAAGTGGTTACTGAGAAATTAATTCCCTTCCAGAAGGTGGTGTCACTAGGAAATGTTTCGAGTCACCTGCCAGTATTATATAATGGTGGTGGTCGCCTGGTAAACAAATATTTGACGCTTGGGAGCAGTGGTGCTTCACTGAGCTCGGCTCGGGAACGCGTTGCCGTACATAAGAGTTTGAAGTCGGTGAAAGCTTGCTCAGATGGCTTGTTTGTTCATTAGAATTTCTTCAAGTGAAGTCGGATCTTAGGATGCAAGGTTCTAGGGAGCTCCTGTTCAGCATACTCGCCGGGGATAACATTTTGCAAGGTGGTTACCTGCAGAGGGAAACCCCTACCACAGTAACCACTTGGTCACTAACAAACCACCACGGTGAAAAAGTTTTAAAAACACTGGTTGGCGGGTCGTTAGGGTTGGATCCGCAGATGATTTAACTCTGGCCCTCGCTTCCACATGTCCCAATTGGTATGTCTGTATATCTGTCTGTGTGTGTGTGTGGTTCTCCCCGTGTCACATGATTGCAGGGTTACGGCTTCCTTTCAGAGCGCGCCGAGTTCGTTGAGATCTGCAACGACCACGGCATTGAGTTCATCGGTCCCAAGCCGGTGCAGATTCGGCTCATGGGTGACAAGTCCACCGCGCGTGACACCATGAAGGTATTATACGGCATGTACTGCAGAATTGTACGGTATGAAGTCAAAAGAATGAAGTTTGCTCTAGGGCTCTTGCTTTGCTGGTTTCCTGTCCCTTCCGCACCCCTGTTTTCACAGCAGGCCAGGACTCGTTGATTGTGCGTGAGCGTGTGTCCCGCGATTGAGAACTACTGCTACTGCTACTGCTATTGCTACTGCTACTGCCTGTTCCTCTGTTTTTGTTCGCGAGGAGAGGCTCGCGGTTCGCGCTGACTGTCCTCTTTCACCGTGGATGATATTCCCCGTGCTGCAGAAAGCCGGTGTGCCCACGGTGCCGGGCTCCGAGGGCCTCATTCGGGACGATGCAGATGCCCTGGAGAACGCCCAGCGCATTGGATATCCCATCATGATCAAGGCCACTGCCGGTGAGGGGGGGGAGGTGTGAAAGGGGGGAGGTGTGAGGAGGCGTAAGGCGGGGGTGTGGGGGGGAAGGAGGTGAGGGCGATAGCTGGGCGGGAGAGGAAGGAGGTGAAGGAGGGGATGTGGCGCAATGACCAGGTTGGTTCACAAGTGTGTGCATGGATGGTTGAATGGACGTACGGACGTACGGACGTACGGACCTCTTGGCTTATCCGCGAATTTCTGATCTGATCATCATGTGCCTTCATTCATGCGGTGAGTTCAATCGGGAAAAGCCCTTAACCTCCACGGGGGCCTTATTTCCTTTGAATATGAAATAGATCTAAGGATTCCCGTAACATACACACTGATGAAAGCATGTGTCATTTGCCCGTTTGTAACGCCTATGCCTCACTCCACTCCAGGCGGTGGTGGTCGCGGTATGCGTCTGTGCACGAAGGAGGAGGACCTCCTGCCATTGTACAAACAGGTATGGATATGTACGACAGCTAGCTTGTGTCGTACGCCGTACAGGGTGCGCTTTTAGCACGTGTGAAGGAATCAAACACATGTCATGCGGCCAGGCATCACCATCTGTCGCGTCAGAGCACAAGGGTGTGAGATCATGTCTCCATGGAACTCGCCCGATCTTCTTTCCCAGGTTTGCCTCCCGGCCCCCAACACACACGAATTCACACGTCCCCCGATTGTGGCCCCCCCCGCGGCCCGCCCCCCTCCATCGCATCCAACAGGCGCAGCAAGAGGCTGAGGCTGCCTTCGGCAACGGTGCCGTGTACATGGAGCGTTTCGTGCAGAACCCTCGCCACATCGAGTTCCAGGTGTGTATGTATGTGTATATGTGCGTATGTCTATTTATTTAAAGGTGGAAGGGGAATTTTGAAATGGTGTTCTACGTTGTAGGGGTAAAGAGGGGATAGGGGTTTGCATCCTGATGGCATTGTCGGACATGACAGGAATGGTCGGAGGTTATCCAATACTCGCAATGCTCCCCGTGAACCCTTGCCGTGTGACGTCCCACCCCACTCCCACCCCACTCCCACCCCACTCCCACCCCACTCCCACCCCACTCCCACCCCACTCCCACCCGGTTCTCACACGGGGCCATGTCCGCCACCATGGTGATGATGATCATCATGACCATGATGCGCACATCAGGTCCTTGCCGACAAGTACGGCAACGTCGTACACTTGGGTGAGCGCGATTGCTCCGTACAGCGCCGCAACCAGAAACTGATCGAGGAGGCGCCCTCGCCCGCCCTCACTCCCGAGGTGAGTTCTTCCCTTCCCCCTTCCCACCACACTACCACTACTGGTAATATAATTGTGCTTGGCAGCAGCTGTGTGCATATCTGTCGTATTCGAAGTATGTATGTATGTACGTAATGGGTATATGCAAACATAACCCAAATTAAGATCCATATCGCATCTGAACAACAGCTGTTTCCCTGACTCGTAGTAAGGAAGAATTTGATTCTGTCGGGAGCGGAAAGGAAAGTGGTGTAGGGGAGAGCGCCGCGCCGTGACCTGGGGAGCTTCCCTGCCTAGGGAATCAAATTATAAGAACCTTCTGGATGCTGTCGCGCCCTCCATGACCCTGCCGGGCCCGTTTTCCCCCCCCCCTTGCACACACCCCCCCCCCCCACACACACACACACATTTTCTCCCACCCACAGGTCCGCAAGGCCATGGGTGACGCGGCCGTTGCAGCCGCCAAGGCCATCGGGTACGTGGGTGTCGGCACCATCGAGTTCCTCTGGGAGCAGAAGGGGTTCTACTTCATGGAGATGAACACACGTATCCAGGTGAGAGCCCTCAGGCGGCTCCCGCAGGGCCCCTGACTGGTCCAGGGGGGATGGTTTCGGAGGGAGGGAGGGATGGTTTCGGAGGGAGGCAGGGATGGTTTCGGAGGGAGGGAGGGAATAGGGGCATCGAGCTGCTGCTGGGTGGTTGTGTGGGTTGCGCTGATGCAGGTTGAGACTGTTATGACGCAGCTGCGGCTTATGACAGTACGGCGGCGTACGGCGAATTGCTACTCCAAATCGCCCCCGCACCGCCCGCACTGACCCGCAGGTGGAGCACCCCGTTACGGAGATGATCACGGGCATTGACTTGATCCAGGAGCAGATCAAGGTGGCCATGGGCGAGCGACTTACGTTCACGCAGGAGGACATCCAGTTCAAGGTGGGCTGCAGGCCGGGTTATGTGTGTGTGTGTGTGTGAGTTTGTGTGAGTTTGTGTGAGTGGGGGAGGGGGGGAAGGGGGGAAAGGGGCTGCAAACGGGAGTCGTAGAAGAATTAAGCAAGAGCGTGCGTGTGTATGTGCGTGTGTATGTGCGTGCGTGCGTGATGGAATGTTAAGGAGGGATCTGAGAGGAGGAGGCGGGCGGGAGAGGTCGGAGACACGGAGCGTCGTCGACCCTTTGTGGTGGTGTAGCGAAGCCCGCCACTCTCCCCCCCCTCCCACACACACACGCAACAATGCGCACACGCACACGTGGCCAGGGTCACGCCATCGAGTGCCGCATCAACGCGGAGGACCCCTTCTTGAACTTCCGTCCGGGACCGGGTCGTGTGACCACCTACCTTGCCCCGGGAGGCCCCCATGTGCGCATGGACTCGCACCTCTACCCCGACTACCTGGTGCCGCCCAACTACGACTCCCTGCTGGGCAAACTCATCGTTTGGGGTGCGGACCGCCAGCAGGTGCGTCCGCGGGGGCTTGGGGGTGGGGGGAAGAAGGGGGGGGAAAGAGGGGGGGAAGGGGGGGCTTAGTTGAACGCGACGGATAAATAGGCGGGGCGAACTCGGATTGGATGAGAGGGCTATGCGGGGTGTCATGTCTTGTAGTGCAATGTAGTGTAATGTGGGTAAGTAGGTACTACCTTTATTAGTAGATCATTTAGTAGATCATTTATTGCTCCCCCCCCCACCACCAGTGTGTGTGTACTCTTCGCGCCTGCCTGCCTCTCATCCTTACCCGGTCACCTCCCCCACCCCCCGGTCTCACTGGAATATCCCCCGGCACCTGCCCCCCCCTCCATACACACACACGCACACGCCTACATCGGCCAGGCCATCACCCGCATGTCCCGGGCTCTGGACGAGATGGTCATCACGGGCGTCCCCACCACCGCCTCCTTCCACAAGCTCATTCTGCAGACCGAGGCCTTCAAGCGAGGAGAGGTGGGGGGAAAGGGCGGGGTGGGGAGAAGAGATCCTTCCTGGTAGCCACTCCATTCAGAAGATACGGCTCTTTTTTAAAAGTTTTTCACTAATGTACGGCACCGGTGTGTCTCTTCCTGTTGTTACTGTGATGATGAGCATTGCTTTACCTGTCCAAGACATGCATTGCTGCTATCGCTCTGAGACTAATCCACCCACCATCGGCGCGTAGTCCCTTTCATTCTGGTGTGCCTTTCACCGGGTCGAAATAGCTTTTTGTGCAATATCGCTTTCACCACAGTACGTCTTTTTGTCGTACTTGTTGTCGTACAGGTCGATACTGGCTTCATCGTGAAGCACGCCGACGAGCTCAAGGAGAAGCCCCAGACCCCTAAGGTAAGGTGGTGGGATTGGTTGGTTCGTTGGGTTCGCCTTTGCAGGTTTTGCCGATGGAAGGCTGCCGTACTGTGTTCGTACAGCGAGAGAATTCCACTGTTGTAGCATCGTGCGTCATATCAATAAACCGTGTATGTATGCAGGCCATATGTCAATTTCATTTTTGGTGCATTATGTTTTGCGCACCAATTCGTATGTATGTGTAATGTTTGTCGGCTCTGTATGTACGTCGCCTGTGTCCCCCTCGCATGTGTTTTTCTCACTCACAGGTCCGTGCCCATATGCGGGAGATGATCAAGAGCCGGAAGTCCAAGACCGTCGTCAAGGTCTAAATACGCAAAGTAAACTCGTAGCCATTTGCAAATGGCGATAGGTGGTGAGGAAGGTGCTGCGAGGATCGACCCACCGAGTAGTCGGACACTGGTCACCTCTGGCCGTGTGACGGCACCGGCACCGGCGGAGGGGCACCGGCGGAGGGGCACCGGCACTGGCGTTGAGGGCGCGTTGCCCTCCATGCATGATGTGCTGTGCTAGCTAGCCGTCATCTCCGTCATTGCCGTGTGTCTTCGCTTCCGTGAACATCTCTGCCAGTGCTGCTGCAAGGGGCTTCGCTTTTCTGTGGGGTACTTGGGGTTCGAAATTGTAGGAAGCGTTGTTGAGCAGCCGACGGGCGAGCGTAGTCTTACCTGTTGCCTCTTGCTGCCTCTCCTTCGACCCTGACTGGTTTTGGGACGGCGGAAAGAAGAAGCGGACGGCAATGACGTTCATGCATGTCCAGTGATGTACGGCGCGGTGGGTGACTGGGTGGGTGGGCGCGTGGAGCGCACGAATTCCCCTCTGTCGGTGTCGAGGGGCCGTGGGGGAGGGGTATGGTGGCGGCAGAGTCTGCATCCTCATCTGCGCTCTGCCATTGCGAGCCCCCTTGTCCTTGAGAGAGAGAAGGTCCACCTTTCCACGTCTGGGCCGCACTATCGAGGCGGGAAGAGCGGGGACCTTAATGCGCTTTCAAATGCGACGCATCTGCGACCCATGGGTCGGCTTAAGGAAGCAGCAACCCGCCTGGCGGCACGAGTGCGTGCTGGCCGTACATATACTCTGCATGCGGGTGGACGTACGGCCACTATACATAGCGGCGCTCCTTGCTGGGCTGACTGGCTGTACTGCTACTGTGGGGGAATGAGGATAAAAGGGACGAAGAAAGTCGTGGAGCTGCTGCACTGGCTAGGTTAGGGCGGGAGTGCGCCTCGGTCTGCCGCCGATTTTGGTCACCGTCTCAGGGGCAGTCGATGGTTCCTTTCGCACGTGTGTGCATATGTATGATTGTGTGTGTGTGTGTGTGTGTGTGTGTGTGTGTGTGTGTGTGTGTGTTGTCGCGTGTGATGTGTGTTCGTTTACATCATCGTCACATCAGGAAGACGAAGAAGAAAGGACGAAGAATTTCGCATGTATATGTAACTTGCATGTTCTATCAAGATCTTGCGTTTCTTCTTCCGCCACACCAAAAGAGCGAGGTTACGTAAGGTTCCCGTTCCTATATTGTACGACAGACTCCCGACCTTCTCCCGCCGAGATTGAAATCCAAAAACGAGTGCGCCACATCAAAATCTAATCCGCAACAGCTCCCAGGGAACGAATATGGATATACCATAATAATACCATCCTATCCTGCTGCCACTGCCACTGCAGCTCTCGTACAAGTTTCAAAACAATTCTATTCAAAACTTGTCGAGGCGAGAATCATGGCTCAGGTGTCGGGCCTGATCAGCCGGCAGCATTTGTGGCTTGTGGAGACGCCTGGTGGCTTTTGGCAGGTGGTGTGGAGCTTGGTGTGCCACTGAAGAGGTAGCGCTAGCAGCAGCTGGGGCCAGACCTGAGGATACTAGGTTGAGACCAGCGGCTCACGCCCGCAGGTCAAGCGGACTAGTGCTTCGGGACTTCGTTGTGTTGGGTGCATGTGAAGGATCAGGCAGAGGCACGGTACGAGGCTGCCAGCATGAACAGGTACTCTGGTGCGTGCCCGTAACTCTAGGCGGAGGCGACAGGCTAGTCGGCAGGGCATCAGGCGGCGTCTTGGTGCTGAGCATGGTAGCTTCTTTGCGCAATCACCGGCTCAATGCTGGAGGCAGTTCTGGTTTGGTGTGCAAGCGTGTTTCTAGCCGTGTCTTGAGTCTTTTGTGTGTGGCGTGAGGTGGTATGTGTGCAGGTAGTTGTGGTGAGCTGCTTCCCTCGCCTCTGCATGCTGGGTTAGTGCAGGGAGACCGCAGCAATCAGGCCTCCCTCGGTAGCGTCCTTGGCACATCTGCCGGACAGCAGGTTCGAATCCTGCACTGGCCCCGACCCAAATGCACCCAAAGCACCCGCACCTTTGTGCACAAAACGGAGTTTGCCTCGAAGCTTAGCACGAACTTCAATATGCAAAATTCAAGGCACATTTACACCTTAAAAAATTGAAAGGTGCCGGTTCAATCCCGGCATTCAATATCGCACGTTACCTCTGCATGCTAAACTTTAAATGTTTAATTTTGTTACCCGTTCACCTTGCACGTTCGACTTTCCGTGCTGAACTTTACGTGCTTAATTTTGCTCCACATTCAACTTTGTACGTTGAACTTTGAACATGCAACTCCACTTTTAACTTTGCCCGCCGAGCTTTGCGTAATATTTACCTACAGAATTCCGCTGCACGTTCAGCTTTTCCAAACAGGTTTTGCGCATTGCAGTTTACACGTTTAACTTTGCATATTTAACTCTACACACTAAACTTTGCACATTTAAAGTGCAACAGTTGCGTGCTAAACTCCCCGTGCCTAATTTTGCTTCGCATTGCAAATTGTACGTTCGACTTTGAGCGTTCAATTCAACTTTTAACTTTGTTTGCCGAGTTTTGCGTGCTTTATTTTGTTCCGCTATTCTATTGCACGTTCCACGATTCAATGCGCTCGCTTGAAGTTTGCGCGTTCAGCTTTGTGCGTTTACTTTTACGCATTTTTCACATACCGAAATGTTTGACTATAAGCTGAGGTCGTCCGACGTTGCTCACCCTTCGCATGGATGCAACCAGTGACGGTCACAGTGGTGATCGTAGCAGTGTAACCTGCTTGTGTTTCTACGTATATATAAAATATAAATTTTGTTAAGAGTCGCGGTTGTGATAGCAATCACAACCGCGATCACATGTGTCCAAAGCCTGCCCAAAACGAAGTTTGCCCAAGGTTGGCGAAATTTGACGACTAAGGTTCGATCGCGATATGCAAACAAGATGGATCGCAACAAGGTTGTAGGTCTGTACATGCGCTCAAGTGAGTATAAAAAGTCGGCAGACTTGGAATACATATCCAACTTCTCTACCGAAATACTTACTTCAAACTATACAAACAATATTATAAGAAGTGCGCAACCATGTCCAAACGATCACGCGAATCACTAAGTGTTTCGTCGTCAGCCACAAAGAAACTTGAAATAGCGCGCAGCAGCGCAGGCAGTTCTACCGTCACCGCCGCAGGTGCAACTCCCTCTACAACAAGGTACGAACTGTATATAATTGACAGTAAACAATATATAAATAACAAATAGGCAAACATACTAACTCTCAAGCCACGTTAAGTTGCATATTAGGTTACACATCCGGTCCTGCAGATCCACAGCTTTACTACATCATACCCCACTGTACTTCATCTAAATTTCCTACTGCTGTTCTTGTTGCTTACTTTACAGGTCCGTCAACTTAGTATTAACGTGGACGGCTGGCCCCAAGGGCAAAGCCCCAAATACTACCTTTTCGACAGTACTACCTTTTATACTACCTTTTCGTAGGCTACTTTGTAGCCGGCTACTACCTTTTCGTAGGCTACTTTGTAGCCGGCGTTATCCGAGGCCACTGTGCAATTGGCATTGTAAGCATCAGCAATGCGGTGCTCGATGACCGATTAGCTGCACACGAAGGTGAGTGCGAGAACCGGGAGGGTACACTGAGGGTACACACTAACTTTACAACAAGGTTACACCCTAGCTTTTACAGCCACCTCGCGTTCGTACAATTAGGGCGTATAAATAGGACCTACCAGAATTGCTTCATGTGTGCAACTTTTGTGTTTACATTTGTTCAACACTTTTGAATGCACATTGGATCTTTTCAGCGAATGGAAAATACACGTATAAGTTGACAACAGTTTGTAGGCGCAGCATTAGCACAATACTTTAGCACACACAGACGCAGACTTTCACACACAAATGATGTTATGTCATAACATGGAAAGTACCAGGGCTCGGGCGAAACTATCCTGCGTTCGCCGAAATAGTTCCCTATTGGTTCCCTGCTGCGAAACCTCGTCTAAACGTTGATTAAAAGTGCCGAAACCCTGAAAATGCTGTATTTAATGACGTCCTTGCTTGCGTCAATCAACCCATCACAGAGTTCTGCAGCATTAAATACCGCGGAAGTAGGTTAACTAGTTTCGGCCTTTCTGCCGACCAAGGACCTCTTCGTCACACATCCCGAAACTAGTTTCAACATGTTGACGTTTCAGCAGGTTTACGTTTCAACCCAGAACACAACTTCGTCAGAAAAACACGTTCGAGTACTCTAACCTTTCCCTAACGAAATAGTTTCCGATTTCTGGACCCTTCTGCGAAACCTCGCGAAACTGTCACAAACTGCCGAGACCCTGAAAGTGCTGTATTTAATGACGTTCTTGCTTGATAAATTATTATTATTATTATTATTGTTACACCGGTGTCCACTCAACCTGGCGTGTGTTAAGGGGGGAACGCTCTGAGGTCTGCACCTAGTCAGTCCTATATGCTATATTCCCACCGCGTCACCTCTACGGGCCCTTTTTCCACCCTAGAGTTCCACCTATCGTTGGTGAGGACGCCACACTGTCGCTGTGGGACACGACCAGTTATCGCAACCTGCCGGAGTCTGGTGCTCCTGTTACAACTTCAGGCCACGTGCCTGTCGCACCGCCTCCCTACCCTTACACTACTGCACTCTAGACAGCACCCTGCGCTTTGTCCTGGCGGAGGGTAGTTAACCCCCTACGACCCGCTTCACCCGCTGGGGGATTCCGCACCCCTCGTAGAGGTCACCATCTAAGGCTCGTGCAAGGTTCGGCCTAGCCATGCTACAGCAGCTTCTTGATAGGTATTTTGCTTGGACAGCTCCATTGACCTTGTGCATCCATTCCTCCTCCTCCTCGGCGCCTAGCCTTCTGGTGATGGACTTGTCATCACATACACCACGGGTTGCCCTGAGGAGAGCCTCAGAGGCTGATACATTATCAGCGAACAAGTCTCACAACCCATGGTGACGCCGGTGGGATTCGAACCCACATCTCCCACCGGTTAAGGTGGTGCTTTACCAATTAAGCTACGGCTCTTGCTTGATAAACATTATAAGCGTGCTGTCCCGTCCTAGGTGCGGTGCTTAAAGCACTCTCCGGCACCCCTTGTCACTCTATGGTCACCAGCCTGAAGAAAAAGACTGTTTCATCTGAAACATCTTTAGTACCATTGAAACTTGTTTCAAACATTTTAGAGGTCGATCACCCCATTGCAGAGTTTCGCAGCATTAAATACCACGTGTACGGCACTAGCCGAAAGTGGCCCAAACTAGTTATTGAAGTGGAGGTGCAGTTCAGAGGATATGGATGTCCGTCCATGGGTGGTCCGTAGGTGGTCTGTTCGTGTGTCGCTGTATTTACATCACAGTGAAGGGTCCATTGCTCTTCTGCAACGTATTGTTGTCGATTTTCGGCTGTTGCGAAGTCTTGGTCTGTGAAGAATTCTTGGAAGCCTGGCAGCTGCTGCAGTACAGCTTGTTCAGATGCGCAGACTGGATATGCTGCGGTATTATCCCCTCGATGCAACACAAGGGGGATGACCGGCTGCTGGTCCACGCTGACTTCTACAGTTAGGTTGGGTTGCAGCTGCATGCCTTTGTGCAGGCCGTCTGCAGGTAGTACTACAGCTGCGATGTTCCGGCACCTTCACCCATCCCGTGTTGGCATGGGAATGCCAGGCTTCCAAGAATTCTTCACAGACCAAGACTTCACAACAGCCGAAAATCGACAACAATATGTTGCAGAAGAGCAATGGACCCTTCACTGTGATGTAAATACAGCGACACACGGACGGACCACCTTCCTGACGGACATCCATATCCTCTGAACTGCACCTCCACTTCAATAACGCCTTCCCGCGGCGTAAAACCGGGCGTGCTATCTCAGCACGACAAACCATCCCTAGGGGTGTCCAGCACTTGCTGGGCAGCAGGTTCGAATCCTGCAATGGTTTTCACATTTTAATGTTTTCATGTTTTTTGTGCTTATAAAACACAACTAAGGGAAAGAGGGATAGGGAAGGAGGGATAGCCAAGGAGGGACGGCAAAGGAGAAACAGGAAAGGAAGGATAGGACGACAGTGATGGACGAGAGCTACGGCACCCTCGGGACCGAAGGGACCGCGCCTCGTTAACTGTAGCAGCCGGTACACAGTACAGCGCTATAAATATGCGTGTAGCGCGCCCACCAGCATCTCGAGAGGCCTCTTCAGCGGCCAGCTGCTACATTAACCAAGTAAGAGCAAAGATAATGCCAAGTGGTGAAGTGCCAGAGCCTTAGGAAATTCCTAGGGTATATATATGCAAGTGTGCCACAACAACGAGGAGAACTACTAGCTGACGGCTGTACTTCTGCCCTCGCATTCAGGGTTATCAAGGTGGGCATTCTTTGGACCGACATCAGCGAGGGCCTGGCACCCTGGAACGACACCCCTGCTACGACACCGATTCATATCAAGACCATCATCTGCCGTCGAGGGTCAGCTGATCCACGGATAGGCAGTGAGTGAAGTGAGTTGTGCTCTCAGGGTTTTGGTTTTGGGTTTTGTTCAGAGTTGGGCACTAGCTAATGTTAAAACCCTGCAGCTGATATGTGTATTGCCACCTATAGCTATCCTTCCGGTTTCTGTCATACAACAGTTATTAGGCATAACCTTAAATTTTGCCATTTCTTTTCCGTGCATGCAAAACAGGTTTGGACTCTAGAGTCCCCATGGTGGGAGACCTCGGATTGATCAAATATCGGAGTCAGCAACTCGTTTAGTGAGACATGTGTATGGAGCCATACATCAGATCATACGGAACTGAATCTGGGGGCTGGGTCTGATTTCCTTTCTCTTGATATGATGACGCTGGTGTAATTAGCGAGTTTATACACACACCGAGCCTGGGGCCATGGGCGGGCTCTACAGCCCTGCAAGGCTTGTGTTGGTGAGGCAATCTTTAGAATTGTACACTCAAAGTGTTTGGTGAACATGTATGTTTGTATGTGTAGACATGTGAGCTCGATACAGGCATATGCATGGATAGAAGTGTATAGAGAGGCATGCACATATGTATGCACACATAGACAGGCGAAATAGGCATACATGCTCACATAGATGGATGAGACAGCTGTGATAGCATGTGTAGGCAGGTTGGACAGGGACATGCTTACAATCCATTGACACCAGCATATGGCCCGGCATACGGACAAGGAACTATTGTAAACACTGGTTACCCTGTCTGTTACCCCTCAGTACAATATTACCCTGACCCCTTTGTTACCCCTTGGTAAGGGGTTACCCCTACCCCGGGGTTAGGTTACCCACCTCCCTTCGTACATAGCCACATGGGTAACCACTTACCCCTACCCTTACCCCTACCCCTAACCCCTGGGTTATGCTTAAGGGGGGGTTACCCCTCGTTTTATGCCATGGGGTAGGAGTCTCCTATCCCACACACTCCTGAATGATGGGCTCAGGGTTTTAGGGTTTTAGGGGAGTG